CTGCTATATTAATTGCTGTTGCCCTCCCTTAGTCGGCTCTTATGACACCCACGGGACGAATAGGGGTGGTGACACGTAATATGATACATAATTTGTTTCAATTAACTTAAGGGCAAAAAATGGCACAACTTGGGTCCCTCAAGGTGTAAAGTGGTATGCCAAGGCGACGATAGTGGCACTGTCTAGACGGCTTCCGAAAAGACTAGTCCGAACTAGAACATGACAGGGACACATAGAAGGGAGAGAGGGAGACCTTTGCCCCGCAGTGGAACAACAAAAGCTAAAAACAAAATACAACTTAGGAACACAAGCCTATGACTGTCAATCGGAAAAATTGATAATATTTTGAAAGGAGTAGGGAACCTAATGGGAGGAAAGAACGTTACTTATAGGGACAGATTGGGAGGTGTAAGTTATAATAGCTCGAGCTGGTTAGGGGCGCTTTCTTGTGACTTGAACTGGTTATTGCTAAAAAGTCCAAGCTCTCTAACAAAAGAAAACCATTGATGTTATTTAAAATATCCCATCATTCTAGTGGGAGTAATTTAATAGGGGCAAAGTACTTGTGTTAGCTACCATCACGTGACTTGTCTGCTTGTTTGCCCCGGTATACCGTAAAAATATGCAAACCAGTTTACTTTCATTAATTTCATGTCATTTTGTTATTATCCTGCTTTTTTACTCAACTGTCTTTCAATTAATAAACACAATACATTTTAATACATTAAATGCTGATATGTTGTATAAAATTACTTAGTAGATAATTTGCGCTCAACACGCTGCGCTGTGTAGATCGTTAAGGCCTGCGCGAGCGCATGTCGCCGCTACCGGGTACTTTCTTATATGGCTTAAGGGAAAAGACAAAGCGAGAAAGCGCCAAAGAGTGCCATGGATATGTCTCTTTTGTGGACCTTTTTTATTTAAAAAAAAATGGTTTATAATAGCTCGAGCTGGTTAGGGGCGCTTTCTTGTGACTTGAACTGGTTATTGCTAGAAAGTCCAAGCTCTCTAACAAAAGAAAACCATTGATGTTATTTAAAATATCCCATCATTCTAGTGGGAGTAATTTAATAGGGCCAAAGTACTTACAAACACCATCTCAAGATGGTGTTTGTAAAAAACATGGAAAGTGCGTTCCACTCTTCGAGCTCCGCCACCCCCCGAAATCAGAAGGAGAGGGGTTTGGGATCCAGTAACCTACTAACTTTGAAAAAAGCAACGAAAAGGTTTTCTGTGAGGCTGTGGTATAGTCCGATGCAAACTTACTGGCGGCTCTGAAGTTAGCTGCGAACACAGGTGTGCGCAAGTACCTATAGTCAAGTCGACTCGACTATATGTAGACAGGAATATGCGCGCATGTGCAGTGTACGGATGTAACTTACACACTAAAAGGCAAGCGTGTCGTGTGTCGCCCTGCCCCCTCGCTCATATACCTTCCGCTGCTGTCTATTATTGTGTTCTGCACACTGAAACGCACGATGTTCCGAGCCGCCAGGGCCTCAATTCTGCTTTTTATGTTCACGCCAAGCCACTGTCATACCACTGACACGCTATTGAGATGCCATGCAGGGGCTATTGGCATCGGTATAAATATCTGAAATGTAATATGTATGTATGTAATGTGTGTCTAATATAGAAATGATTTATTTATTTTTATTATAATAAATTATTAAAAGAAATAAATTAATTATATTATATTCTTTTTTTTATTTATTTATTTATTTCTTTTTTTTTATAATTTTATTTTTTTATTAATTTATTTTAATTTATTTATTTCTTTTAATAATTTATTATCAGTGGAATGACAGCTTGGCGTGAACATAAAATAGTAGAAATGAGGCCCAGTAAGTTTGCATCGGACTTTATCACTCCGATCGAGCCGGCCCATTTGTGTCGAAGCGGTCTCTCCACGAAAAAAGTACCTACTCTATGACAATAAATAACACGAAACAACTAATAACATGTGTTTACTAAATAACCAGTCTCTAAATATATCTTTATAACTTAATTTAAAATAAATACAAATCCTGTAACCAGTCGGCGCGCTAAAGCGGATAGTGATTGATGATGATGATCTGCTCATGCGCAATCATCTTGCTACTTCCGCACCGCCACCGGTGACGAATGGACCTCTATCCCAGGTTAATAAATAGATAACTGATGTGATGAGTTTTATTGGTGATTTTTGAACGGTAATCAATTTATTAATATCAAAATGAATGCTTAGTGTAACTTGCCTTTGACTATCGATGACACATTTAACGGTAGCCTGATTCTTTCTTTTTTCTGGGAGAGGGGGTAAACGAGCAGATGGGTCTCCAGGTGGAAAGTGACTACCGTCGCCCATGAACGCCTGCAACTCAGGAGTAACAAGCGCGTTGCCGGTCTTTTAGGAAGGAGTACGCTCTTTTCTTGAAGGTTATAAGGTCGCATCGGTCAGGAAATATCGCAGATGATAACTTGTTCAAAAGATTGGTTTCCAAAAAGTTTCTCAAAACTTAGACTTAGTTTTTAAATTTTAACAGGGTCAAAACCACGTTAAAAGGGTTAAAGACTTTAAACTATGCTGAGACGGATAAACATATTTAGATACTTTATTTTTGGAAAGACGTACTTACAATATACATACATAGAAATACCCAGACTAATTCAAATGACAGATTAACTTACAAATAGTTGCATTGAGCAGGAATGAATCAGCAATTACATGGTTACGTGGTAGACTAAAGAACCACCTCAGTGCCGCATAGATCGGCGAAATGTCAAAAATTTAATTCAGATCCTCATGTGATAGTGAAACTATAACCGAAATAAACCGAGATTGTTTATACCAAAAGCTAGTCAACCCCAGCCTACGGCCTTATCAATCTATCTAGTAACCATACGACCCTATGTCTATAAATACATATTAACTAGTAAAGGTTTGGCAATATTGTTTGCAATTTGATCTGATATGCGCGCGCGCTCGTGCCGCGCCCGCTCTCGATCCTGCCCGATCGTACCCGATTGCGCCCGACCGGGCATAAATCTTTCGTAATACGGTCTTAGTGATTTAGTTTGTAACTTTAACCTTTATTGTTGAAATATTTAAATGTAATAATGATTTTTGTTTAAACCATAACTTTGATTACATTCATTCTCTACGGCGTAATACGCGGCGGCTATACGGCGAAGGTGCATACTTCATCAGACAATGTAATGCCACATTAAAACGAAAAATACCTTTTGTTTTCTGTTTCCTATGTTCCATGGGACGTCAGAATTACTGGTCTTCATAGTTTATCTATTGGTTTACTTAAATCATTTTATTTTGTTCTTAAACAACGTGTATATATTTTTCACATGAATTTTAATTTAAACAGACACTTTTATTTCTTTCCAGTGTTGAACGAAATAAAATAAAAAGAGTCTTAGGTGCATAATGAGACAAGCCTTATAACTGACTACTTTTATTAAAAATAGGGCAGACAGAAAAGAAAAATGCTATCCTTAAAATTCCCTAACAATACTTTCTTCAGTATTAAGTCAGGATAAAACCAAAGTCAATGTTCATTCCACAATAACATAATGAATCCATAGTAATATTACAAATGCGAAAGTGTGTCTGTCTGTACCTCTTCGCATTTAAACAGCTGAACCGATTTAGATGCAATTTGATATCTAGAGTTGATTTTTGAACTTTTTCAATTTTTCATAGGCTACTTTTTTACCTCGGTAATCGACATTAACGCGGGCGGAGCCGCGGGCAAAAACTAATAAGAGAATAAAGTTTTTATATTCTTTATTAAGATCTTTTTTGCCAAAACATGATAAGTAAAGAGCCCACGGACCACAATCCTGCCGGGTCCCATTATCGCGTAATAATATATCTATCAGAATTCGGCGTAAAGTTTAAAAGCGACAATAAATATATCCGCACTTATTTTAAATACGGCAATAAACGTAAATCCAAATTGCAACTTGGCACGTTCACAATGAGTTTTAATTAAATTTACAATGTCCATGTAAAGTTATATAAAAATATGCTAAAAGGCGATATTTAAAATGTTTATCAGATATTTCGCTGAAATTATCTTTTCACACAAACATTCAAACTTCTTTAATAAGCTATATTTAAATGGTTTTAAATAAAACCGCCAAAAACACGGCGGTACCTTTTTTCTTTTTATCTTTTTTCTGGCTAAAATATAGCATTCTTTGTTGCAAAAGTTTTTCTTAGGTATTTGTCCAAAGTGCAGTTTTTATGTCAGTGTTTTTGGTAATTACATACCTACATATTTGCGGCCACTAAGATGTGTCATTATTTGGTTTGGAGGCGTAAAAATTAAACGTACCATTTACATTCGGAATGAAACTTAAAACTTTAACGAAAATAGTTTAGTAACCGTTCAAATATGTGTACTTAACTTACGGTATTTTAACATGCAAGTTTTTATAAAAAAAATATACCCATATTCGCTTGACATATGTCAAAAAATGAAAACAAAATAAGGCATTCAAAATTATAAAAAAAAAACGAAAAAGAAAAAAAAATTAATTAGCAACAGTAAAACAAATAATAATAACAATATTTTCACACATTCTGATCCCAAACTAGGCAGAGCCTGTACTAAGGTAAGGTACCAGACTGCTGATAAACATACTTATATATTTCTAAATACATACATAGCATAGATAAACTACACCCAGACAGAATAATTGATCCTTGCTCATCACACAATTATTTGTTCTGGGTGAGAATCGAACCCATGACCTCTAGCGTAGCAGTTAGGGTCACCTCCTGTCAATATTATATATTTAAAAAATTAAAAAATATACTCCGGTTACCTTGTTATACAAGTTGTGCTGATAAAACCTCTTTTTTTCATTATTTAAGAAAAACCCGCTTCAAGAAAAAAACATTTACATAGCAAAAAGAGTGCCGAACATTTTAGGAATATACGGCTAATTTACATTTAACGTGTTTTAAATGATTAACCGTGTTTATTTTTTCCTTGCAGACCTCTGGTATGCCAGAACGGAGCGACCTGCACAAATTCCGTGGGTGGTTTCTCGTGCATCTGCGTCAACGGTTGGACTGGGCCGGAGTGTTCAGTGAACATCGATGACTGCGCAGGAGCAGCGTGTTTTAATGGAGCTACATGTATAGACAGGGTTGGAGCGTTTTACTGTAAATGCACGCCGGGAAAGACTGGTAAGTTTGAGTTGATAGTTAATATGTTTTAGAACTAGACTTAGCCTAAAAGATACTGACACCTAGCCTAGTTATTTTGGCAGAAAGCAATAAAAACTTTTTTATTTGTCAAGAAATGTTAATCATGTTTGCAATCGGCATATCTTGTAAAGCTAATGGGACGTTTCTTTCGAAAGTCCTTCTCGATTTATAAATTTGATGACGTAGAAATTAGAAAATTGATTTTATAACATACCAAGTCTAAGGCTCGCTTGTTGATGGCAACGGAATACAACTGAAACATTGCCAACTCTATTAGTGTGCCATTTGTATGTATAAGGCTAAGACAACCCAACACTCTAGCAGAAGAAATACAACGCTCAAGTGCACAGTTCTATCCAATGCTCTTATTTGAAGGGTGTTTGTACACCTTAAGTAGCGCGATGCATGCACCTGAGGTCAAGAACTTTTTTTTTTTAGGTCTCCTGTGCCATCTAGACGACGCCTGTACATCGAATCCATGTCACGCAGACGCAATCTGCGATACGAGCCCGATCAACGGCTCTTACACATGCTCCTGCGCTTCTGGCTACAAAGGACTTGACTGCTCTGAAGATATCGACGAGTGTGAACAAGGTAATATAACTTCCTTGTGCTTCAAAATACCGTAAAGCTGGATCTCGTTCCCCGTATATTGAGAATATTAAAATAAATTTAATCCTTATTGTTTTCGCGAATAAAACGAAAATATTTACCCAATTTGTTGAAGCATATTTTATTTTGAACTATTTACTAATTTCTCTCTACTCCACAGGATCACCATGTGAACATGATGGCATCTGCGTGAACACTCCAGGCTCCTTCGCTTGCAACTGTTCAGTCGGCTTCACTGGTCCACGCTGCGAGACCAACGTTAATGAGTGTGAGAGCCATCCTTGCAGAAACGATGGCTCATGTCTCGATGACCCGGGAACTTTCAGATGTGTCTGCATGCCTGGTAAGTTCGATGTCTTTTATTAGCATTTTACGTAAAATCTTTATAGTTATGTTATCCGTGTCATAGGACTCTTACGTGTAATGGAAGGCTACTTGTCCTACTTCATTTATTTACTACACCTGTAAGGTGTTGTAAAGAAGGGTTCACCAAGTTGCTTTTTATAGTAATTTCGTGTTAACCATTATTTTCAGGTTCTGGGACTGTCATAGAATTATGCCTTTTTCATATTAGATTCACTATCCCTTCAACTGCAAGAAACGGCTATTTTATATATTATATAACTAATAATTAAAACCAAGAGTAGAATAACAAATACACAAATCGTGGTATCAGTGCAATCTCAACAGTTATGTTACATTAAAACTAATTTACATAAAGCTGTAAACAAGTTTAACGTTTTCTTGCTGGTGAATTAGACTTGAACAGGGCGATTTCTCCTACACTAGGGAATAACACTAAGATACAATTTGCTTCTTATTGATGAGCGCTTAATGATTGTCATCAATTCGTATAGAGAGGGGGAATAGAGACAGCTAGGTTTCAGGGTTGTCACTTCACTTACAGGATAACTAACTACCTCTGATAAACAGAATCCTAGTGCTATATAATTTTGGAACAGTTGTTTAGGAATCTCCTCTTGGTTAGAAAAAGTGATAACAAAAAGGAGTCATCGAACCGTTACCGGTGTCTAGTACCTACACTTGCAGCAAAAAATATGTCGTTCGCCGCGTTGACTGTGCCAACCTAACCAGTTCTGGCCACACTCAATACACACCAACAAAAATACTACACTAAGCAAAAAACGAAATATTTTTAGACCCACACGTTGGGTTGGTAATGCGTCATTGACATCCTTTTTAATGGTTTTTAGTTGTTAAATAAAAACGCGTTTGATTTTTTAATTGCATAATAGTTTTCTAAGACGTGGCACCCCTGTCGGAGACCCGATTCCCATAGCGATGAGAGCGGCAACGGCGCCCGCGCATTGTCTTCGATGCGGAAATCACCGCGAACCACTATCAAAGTGACAGTTAACGTAATCACGCCACCAGCGCTGTACTGCTAATATGTCATTATTGTTGCTAAACACTAGGTTTCCGTTGCAGAACAGCGAGCAGTAACCAATTTGCTAAATTATACAATATACTTTTGTCATAAGCAATACGTTTCTTGAGATTTCTTCGTGTTCCTATTTGAGTGGTTTTATCTTTTAAACGTTGTCCTCTTAGGAACACGTGACAATTTAACTCCGCCGAGGCCAAGTGCCTAAACCATCTACAACACATCCACCAATAACCCAACATTTATAATTTGCTAATTTCGACATAATAGCAGGAGTAAAATAGGCTTAAAATACAAATATCGGAAACATTTCTTCTGCCTCGTTTTGTATCAATGGGAGCTTATGGTCCCAAGTCCTAGTATCCAGAGATCCTTTCCTAAATCTAAGTCTCACCCATGTACGACGTTTTTATCCAACCGCTTTCAAATACTGACCTCTCAGTTCTAGTTTAAAAAATAAAGACAACGCAAGTGACAATAAGCTATGTTTTACATCACATCATCACATCAACAGCCTATAACAGTCCACTGCTGGACATAGGCCTCTTCTTAGAAAGGAGGTTTTGGCCTACTATACCACGCTGGCCAGACGGGTTGGTACTTGGTTTATTTCAAGTTTTCCTTCTCGTTGCAGTGCTGTTGTCCTGCGTAATTTGCTCCCTTAGTCAGCTCTTACGACACCCACAGGATGAATAGGGGTGGTGACATTCCGTATTCTTGATCCGTCACCACACGGATGGACATCTATTTAATATCAGCTGTTCTTAATGCCAGAATCCTATGTTGTTAGAGAAATATGACACTAAATGATAAACTCAGTATATCCAATATTTATGCAATTAAGTAAATCTATTAACACGATCGGTTATTGCCACACGGTTCTAAGGGGGTATCTTCGCATCTCAGTCGCTTTATCACAGAGGATCATGTAAAAAATATGTTTATAAAAAAATACATACAGTGGAACATAGAACCTCCTCCTTTTTTGAAGTCGGTTAAAAATAGGATTTGTTTTATTAAGTAGTCATCGTCTCCTCGTAAAGAAATATTGATAAGTTACCGAATGTAAATGAGTTTCGAGTATTTCTTTTAAACACAAGTTTTTAAGAACAATTGAGTTAGGAACTCGGCACAAGTGTGAAGTATTTGTATTAATTAGAGACACCTCACACTGATCTCAAACTAGACAAAGCCTGTAATATCCAGACCGTTGATAAATATACTTACAAACTAAATACATAGATATTATAAATAAATTACATTCAGGCACAGAACAAATAATAGTACTCATCACACAAAGTGACTCGGTGGGGCAGTGGTAGCGTATGCGATTGCTGTGCTGAGGTCTCGGGTTCGATTCCCGAGTCAGACCAAATGTTTGTATAATCTCCAAAAATATTTGTTTCGGGTTTTTTTTGTGTGTTTTCTATGTATAATGTATACCTATGTTTTTAATAAAAAAAGTATATAAGTATATCATCAGTCAATCTAGCTTTCTTAGTACAAGCTTTTGTTAGTTTGAAACTAGATGGCGTTGTGTGTCAGGATCAGGTTCCTATCATTTTTGTCTAGTTTTGTTTAAGTGAGTCTATTGTTCTAAAAGTTTTATAAAAATAAGCTATCGCATTATATAAGCTAAGCATTTTTCGATAAATAGTTTACGAACATACTAGTTTTGTTTTCAAAATTTTAACACAGACTATAAAGTAACAAAGCAAATGAAACAAGCATAAAAACGTCTCAGTCGTGCCTTGTTGTAAAATTATTGTCCCGTTATGGAAACCCGTTAGGAAAATTGCATTTATGTCTACTTGCAGTAAAATTTATACAATGATTCATAGATCTACAAAGTAACTTCTTCAAGTAAGAAGCTTATATTTAAAGTAATATAAAGGGCGTACCAAATATTGTATGATTACAGCAAAAGATAATAGAATACTCAATAAAAAATTAGACCTTGAACTTTTGAACCGTCCTAGGTTCCGGCTATAAAAAAATGATCACAGTAGATCTGTCACTAAAGTTATTTCATGTCGATATAACGCTTAATAGTTATTATAATTGCATAAGTGCTATTTTCTTTATACACATTTAAATAATATTTTAACTTCTTGAAATGCTCTCAGTTCCATTCCCCCTTACTGATTTCCTATTCTTCACATTCTAGTTATTTTTTAATATACTTACGGTACTTAATCTCAAAAAAATAAAAGTCCTGATCAAGGCACACCTGCGCAGTAAAACAACTACCAATAAAAAGACATCACTCTATAATAAGACAGTCCATTAAGCTCCAAACTCAAGTCAAGTGTACACAACATGTTAAAACATGTCACAGACGCAATGGTGCGTTGCGTACAGAATCACTCTTTTGGAACGAAATAGTCCACGAATAATGTGAATGTATCATAATAGAAGTAATCCGCTCCTGTTATCATACCTATATAAATTGAACGGGTTATGTCAGGTTGTTTGTGGTAGCTTGATTTCTGTACTTCATTTTTACACTTCTTGAAATCTTTTAGTGGACCTTTGGTCTAAAAGTTTACACGTGCAGAGCAGAAATACGGAGTATAATATTTAGGTAGTTTCTAAGAGAACTGGTGGCAAACAATTGCAAAGGATTTAGTATACCTACTGCAATATTTACAAAATTATGTACGTTATTGGTTAATTAGAGTAGACAATTAATTGTTACACCACCACAATAAAACAAAATAAATATCACTGAGAAAGTGACATTGTTATTTGTTAAAAAGTCTAAAAGTACATATAAAATAAACTTCCTCTTACGTCTAATTTTACAAACAATGACATATTATAATGACAAACCGTTTCAGTAGAATCTGATATCGGCGCGTTCACTCTAGCGTTATAATATTATCGAAACGAATAAATAAATGCCTTCAGATACAGAAAATATTATAAGTTTAAACAATAGAGTAGTCGTTACCTCCAGACGTATACATCTGGTTTTGTAACGCTTGACCAAGCCGGGTCTTGTCACGCGAGTACGAATAAGGGAATGTCTGCGATGTATGACGCCGTGTAACTTTTTTATACTCATATGGACATACCCTTAGGTCCTTGAACCGTATAATTTAATAACGGCCGTGGCTTGCTATATTTTTTGCCTTTGTAGGTACTTATTGCGTAGAAGAAGTGTGGATGAAAACAAACACAGAAACCGCCCTCTTACAATTGTTCATAATATTTTTCTCTTTAAAGACAACATACACAAAGAACTCCCAGACTCAGAATAACAATTTGTAGATCACATTAAGTCGGCATCGAACCTAGAACACTCAGCACAGTAAGAAGGCGGTGAAGTGACCGCTAAAACGACTACTCCTTTCGTGCAGTAATTTTAAGCAGCTAGCTGGATCTTTCACTTAATTCATACTCCTGAAAACGATTTAGAGTCGGCGTCAGGCAGTCGGTTGGCCAAAAGAAAAAACGGCCTAATTGGGTACAGGAAGGTGATGAATGCTTAGAGCATTAACATAATCCTTAAAGCAGGATGAATGTGATATGATGCTTACACATTTTTAGGTTGGTAAACCAGCTTCCGACTCGCTTTTTAGTCTAGGTGTCTAGGTGTCTAGACAGGCATTTACGATATTATTATGATACTTATAATATTTTATATTTCACAAATATTCGTAAAAGTAAAAAAAATCAAAACACAAAATATATTTTTAGGCTTTATTTATATACATCAAAAACTTGTTCAAGAAAAGAGAATCTGAGTAAATATTTGAGTTATCTCCCATACATAGACAGACAGACAGACAGCTTCGCTCAATCCAATTGGAGTATTATAATGTGTTTTTAATTAAAATTTTATTGAGTTTAACCACCTCTTTCTATTCTCTCTCGATTAAATCAATAAAATTCATTATTATCAAAATCAAACGCTCCTATAAATTATAAATTTATTTTTAAACGTGTAAATCAATACTTGGAACCGTTTATTGCAAGAAAAACTACGACCATCAATCAAAATATCAATATAATCTATGAAACAGCTCTTTTGTTAAAAATCAGAGACAGAAATTAACTTAAATTTTTAATAATAATATAATATTATGAGAGAGTTGTGAAGACGAATGAAGAATAAAATTGAACGATAATTGAACTAAAATTTCATTTATTTTTCTGTGTAATTAGTATTTTTCAAAGCTCAAATGTGTTCACTAGATCTTTGTTCCTGCTATTTTACTTAGAGCACTCTCATATGAAGATTTTACGATTACGTGTGTTAATACAGTTATTTAAAAGATGATGTAATGAAATTGCTAAAGCTACTGCTGGATTGTCCTAGATCGTCATGGAATTTCTCTTCCCATTCTCACATATTTACGGTATTTCCCAAATAGTTGGTCACGTACGATTTTGGACGTAAAATTTGAAGTATTTACCAGCTAGTTATGTATTTAAAAACTTGTATTTTATTCATGTATGCGAATAAAGTTGCCATTAGCATGCTCCATACATTCTCATTGTGGCTTGTGATCCGAAATCGTGACGGTAGGGGGACGGTCCAAGGTACAAAATAGACATGGCTTTAAGCTCCTGATACTTACATATAAATATATTTGCTCATTATATTGTAGTTTTAGAGCACCATAACTTATTTAAGTACTACTGTATATAGAATAGACCCACGTATTAATTAAGGTATTTTAAAGTATTTTTGTATCTGGGCTAAGATAATCAAAATACCCAAAAATTTATATAATCCGGAAATAGAAAAGAAATATTGGTAATTGCTAATGTAAACTGCATTTTCTTGAAATAGTCCGATTTATATAAATATTTATAGAAATATTGCTATAAATATAAATTAACACCATCAGCATCATAGTAGGCCTCATTTCTAAGGCGAGGCCTATGTCCAGCAGTGGACTACTGGCTGTTGATGATGAAGCATAAATACACAAAAACAATAATATAACGAAAACTATAGAATAATAGTTTTATTTTGAAAGTTTCAAATAACCTAATTTTAACTTCAATTAACTTTCTTTTAACTTCAATTAACAGTTTTTATTTTGCATAATCTCTCATCTCTCTTAAGAATAACAAATAAAGAAAATTAAGAAAATACAAGTTATAAATCATTGAAATTGGTTTCCCAAAATCGCGGTCATCTTTTACCTTGGACCTAGGAATGACCACGACATGAGGTCGCAAGGCGGGCCGTCCCTCCCAGAGCTTTCCATAGGCCATATCGCTCAAACACCATGTACCTTAGACAATATTGCGTAATACTGTATTATATAGAATCAACATTTCATTAAACCATTATTATAAAATAAAGTACGCTAAGCACATCATCATTAACAGCCTTTACTAGTCCACTTCTGGACGTAGGCCCGCTGGCCAGACGGGTTTGTATAGGGTTCGTGTCAAGTTTTCCTTCTCTTTGCAGTGCTTTTGTCCTGCGTAGTTTGTTCCCTTAGTCGGCTCTTACGGCACCCACGGTTTGAACAGGGGCGGGTCCGTATTCTTAATTCGCCACCACACAGTAATAATTTACCTTGCGATTGTAGGTTGGCATTTAAGTGTCTATTGCATGTTGTTAAATACAAAAAAACACTTGATTATATTTCTATAGAAATATTAATTTTTTCACTTGAGGAATTGGCGAAACAAAAACTTCGTTATAAAATACCGATTGACAATCTTTTGTACTTAAAGAGATACCTAAATCGTTTCAAAGTATAATACGGCCAAGTTTGATTCAACAGGGGTGTCACGCACACGGTCGTCAATACTAATGATTTTCGATTTTGCCGTAGCGCAATTAAATTCTTCAGTAAAAATTAAGTCTTTTCTGTCCTGCTTGATGGGCCTGTTAGGTCTAATGATTAACAATCCTGGTTACTAACCAAGGTTCGATTTCCTCTAAGGATACCTTTTGGCTATAAGCACGAGCATTTGTTCTGTGTCTGGGTATAATTTATCTATAACGGTGTTTAGAAATACATAAGCATGTTTATTTTGAAATATATGTGCTCGGTTGACGGCAACAATGTAGGCGTATAAGACAATTGCCTCTCTGTCTACCCCTTCGAGGATAAACACACGAGTGTGTGTGTGTGTATGTGTGTCTTAACCCAGACGGTTTTGGGTCAAGACACACACAGAGACAGAGTTCCTAATGTAACCTACAGAAAGAAGTATATTATCAGCCCTAGTACTGTTTCTTTTTTACAGTAAGGTTGCAAGACTGAATAGTTTTTTACCGTACATTGCCAATTAGGATTGATACTGGATAGTAATTTTGTAATGAGTTCTTACCACGACAATTATTGATATTTCTGTTATAGCCAATTGATTTTGATCTTTATGTTGTTAAAATAAGAATTATGCAAATGGACTTACATAATTGCTTCTGTAAAAGGGCACTCATACTGGTCGAAGCTAGATTGTCTGCCTTGCCTGCGGCTTCACAACCGTCGTTTAAATATCAACTTCACTTCTATCAATTTAAAGTATATACTCATTTATCTTCCAATCTCGCATCGGACAGTTAAATATGAAAACAACAGATTATGCGCTTTATAGTCATGCAATAAGTTTGCTTTTCCGAAGAGATCATTTCATGGTATACTTTTGATGAGTCTGGAACCTTGGGTCAATTAGCATTCTTGTGGACAGGTCTAAAGGCTATGGCAAAAATCTTATTTGTTACTTCTGTCTCTATATTAAAGCCAATTGTATTTATAATCTAAATAAGTACAGACAATTTACTGGTAATTTTGTCCATAAGTATATATAAACTCTTGATGAACTGAAACCGATTCTTTTTAAAAATATAAAGACATAGCACGATAAATTTCGTGATAAATCGATCTTCGTACATCATGTATCAAAGAGACACAATGTACAAACATCGATTTATGATTTTACACTCACCTCTAAATTGCCTGCATTTTACAGACGTCGATAAGTTTACCTCGTTAACTAGAGCACCCCAAAACAGTGTTAAAAAACTTCAGCGTACTATATTTTATGTGTCGTCTCCTCTATAATTTAGGAGAAAATAAACAAGACATTGACAATGAAGCATTCCATAAATTTAAAGCCTTCGACAATGTTGAAACCATAATACGTTTCATTTTACAACTTTTGAACATTTACAACATATATTTTAGCGCCGTGAAAATCATTGGCAGGCACAAAAAGAAATCTGTTTTTATTTTAATGTTCTTCAGAGAATTTAAGTATTACTTTTCAATACATTTCAAAGGAAACACGATAATATTATGTTTATTCTTTACTTGAGTAAAAAACAAATGTTTAGTTTATTTATGTGTTCTTTGAACTAATAAACTGTACTGCATACGTGCATGAAATATGCACCATAAAAATGTGGACACCGTGATCAATAACTCCTGGAACTGAATGTTTACTGCAAGCTATATTTTCATCATCATCATCAACAGCCTTCAATAGTCCACTACTGGACATAGGCCTCCCCTTCGAAAGGAGGTTGTCCAGACGGGTCGATATAGGGTTTAGCAGTAGTGTACAGAGTAGAATTTGAACTTGATACCTGGGTGTGGTATCTTCAGCCTAATTTTACTTTTACCAGGACTACAGCAGAGCCTGTTTTATTCTTTACTTTTCAGAGTGTATTTGACTTGTAAGACTTTAGTTTTTAACTTTATAAAATCTTTAATCCAAGCCCTTGTTACTGTGTTTAATGTCAATGTATTTGTTATCAGGTTTCACCGGTACGCAATGCGAGGTGGAGATCGACGAGTGTGCGAACAACCCCTGTCTAAATGGAGGAGTTTGCCATGACCTGATCAATGCCTTCAGATGCACTTGTGTCATTGGGTGAGTTATTTCATTAATATACAGATTTTTTGTTTATTTAAATTTGGAATTTGGCATCAACATTTCCACTAACAAATGTAAGTACCAAAATTTCGTTACAAATTAATTATTATCAATTTAGTAAACCCTAAAGAATTATCCGAAAGTGTATCACAATAAGACCATTTTGAAATGGAATAATGTAACATATAATCACCTGTAGTAGAAATGAATTCTCTTAGAAAGAATGTTTACTACTACAATAATAATATACGTAACTTCTCTCCTTACAGGTTTACAGGCACTCGATGTCAGGTCAACATCGATGACTGCGCGTCAAGTCCATGTCGGAATGGCGGCATTTGTCACGACTCCATTGCTGGGTACACATGCGAATGTCCGCCCGGATATACTGGTACGTACAAATATTTAACAGTAAAAGAGCCGGTACTGACACAGACAAGTAGAGAAATGCCGCATTATTATTACAACCACAACCGGTCCTAATGGCTTCTGGCTTCTTTAATCACAGAAGGGACGTAGGGCCTCACAGGCTCAGAACCATTTCTGATCGGAGCCTTGCAGTTATCCTTCCCCTAGCTCCCTGGTCTGGAATGTTCAAATAGACTTGGCATCATAGCCGACGTGGAAAAAGGGCAGAAAGACATTGACGATAAATATTGTAGCACCAAGCATAGCCTCTAAATAAGTCTTTAAAGATGACCGTTTTATATGAAACTTAGTTACTTCCACATCTCAATGCCATTAATCAGCAGAACACACGTGTATGTGTGTGTGTCTGTGTGCGAAATCATAACCGAGACAACTGTTGTTATTACCAAATGTATCGCAAGGATGTAAGAATAAAATATATGATTTAATGTCCTTGTCTGTCGAAGATAGCGTAACAACTCTTTCAGTGGTATTCTTTGTGATTAGTGGTGATTAGGTTCTATGAGGTGAAGAAATATTTGGTAACGACTATTACAGTTATTTATAAGCACTGGAATCTCCATACGGCCAAGTTTATCCAGTGTTTGTGTAATCTCAGTTAATATCAGGCTCATAAAACACCTATAATCTCAATTACTTATAATTATTTTTTTCAGGCATGTCCTGCGAAACGAATATAAATGACTGCTTATCTGCTCCGTGCCACCGAGGAGAATGTATCGACGGAGACAACAGCTTCACCTGCAATTGTCACCCAGGGTACACCGGCAGAGTCTGTCAAACGCAGATCAATGAATGCGAATCTAATCCGTGCCAGTTCGGCGGTGAGTACACGTCTTACTATAAAAACCATAGAGTAAAAAACACACATGTCTTTTTATGTACTCTTGACAGCTTCTATGCCAAATTTTATGATGATTGCTTCAGAAGTTATTTCATGAAAGTGTAACAAACAAACTCACATCGCATATTTAAAATTGTTAAGGATTAGTTTAGATCGATTAGTGCCCGTCGAGCATACAGGGTTTACTTGGCAGTCAACACCAGAAATTGTTTTGGCAAATGCCAAACCAAATCCTTTTTAATTGACACACTCGTAGGAGGTACATATAAAAAATTTACTCTTTAAAAGTCTCTACTGAATCTGGAGACTCAAACAGATTTTCAGTTAGAGTAAAGAGTTAAAATAGGTAAAAAGAGTTAAAATATCTCGTAGTAGTAGAATACTATAGTGAATGAATCATGAGTTTTACATTTTATTATCACTTTGTATTCTGTTAGCAACCAAACAAATCACTTACGTACATAATTATAGTGTAAATGGATTCCTATCGATTAAAAATTAATAACATAATACGGTAGGTAAGTAAACTATCCAGGAAAAATATACTAAATAATATATTTTTATTTAATTTTAACATTGTATTTTCATTTGCCAGGCCACTGCGAGGATCTGATAGGCGGTTACCAATGTCGCTGTAAACCAGGCACTTCAGGCCGAAACTGCGAGATAAACGTCAACGAATGCTACTCAAATCCTTGTAGAAACGGCGCTACTTGTATCGACGGAATTAACAGGTGAGAATATTAATAGTTATATTAGTTAGGTATAAAATGCCGCTATTCAAGAATGTTAGCTTTATTTTTAATAGCAATAAATTACTGTCATTTTGGCCACATGAAGTCGTCATTTTAAGGTTTATCTTCGATTCCCGGGTCTGGTAAATCGTTTTGCTTTTAATGTGAAGGGTTATACATAAAAAGCAAGGTCCACAATGTTTAAATATTGATATCTATTTGTTACATTTTTTTAACTATGGCAATATTATGACAATAGACTATGGTAATAGCTTTGGCAAATACGCAGTTATTTTATGATTTAATGTTTGTGAAAATAATTATAAAAACATTTGAAGTTAATTTCAGTCGTGCTTTGTTTTAATGTATTTAATATTTAAATTTATTATGTAAATACTTTTAATAACTATTTTAATTCATGCTTATTTTTATTACACGCAGCAATTATCCCTTTGAGTAAGTTTCATTCTTCACGAATATTTAGCATGGTTTGAGCATGGTTTAGTTTAAATAAATAAAATAAGCATGACAATATTTATTAAATTATAACAAAATTATAAGAAAATATAAATATACCCGTAAGAGTTCTTCTTTACATTTCTTATATATTGTTCTTTAAAAAGCTTATATTCATGTATCTATCGCATTTTAAAAGTAAATCAATACCCAAATTCTATTAACTTGCCATGTATGATAAATTCACCTCATCCTCCACAATCATTTTTTTATGCTTACACTACACACACGACCATAAATAGTATTTTTTTTACCAAACAATTTGATTTAAATATTATATTTTATTGTTAATGCTTAGAATAATACTTATTTCCAAGCATGGGACTCAACGGCAAATTGTCTCAGATACAGAAGTGAATTTCTAAATTCGTTTGAATCAAACATACATAAATAGGTACTTTTATAATATGTATAACAGTGTTATATCCCTCCATTTTATATCGCTATGTCTGTGTGGTGACGTATTCAGAATACGGAGTGTCACCATCCCATTCATCACGTGGGTTTCGTAAGAGCCGACTAAGGGAGTAAACTACGCAGTGCTGCAAAGAGAAGGAAAACTTGTGGTGAGATTGGTATGGTAGAAAGGATCTTTTGGCCTACTAAATATCCTTTCTAAGGAGTGGCCTCTGTCCAGCAGTGGACTACTAAAGGCTGTTGATGATGATGAATATCGCTAGTTAAGAGTCAGCAACACTTGGAAAGTAGAGTATTAAAACTCTTATTCAAAAAATATGATCTCGTAAACTCATCCAAACGTAACCGTCCCCAGGTACACCTGCGAGTGCATCCCTGGCTTCACGGGCCAGCACTGCGAGACCAACATCAACGAGTGCCTATCCAACCCTTGCGCCAACGGGGGCAAGTGCGTCGACAGAATCAACGGCTTCCGGTGTGAATGCCCTAGAGGGTATTATGATGCTAGGTACGGACGGTAGTTAGGGGCCTGAATTGGTGTTCTCATTACAAATTCAAAATTTAATCTTACGTATATCCGGTTCTTACTAAATGATCTGATCGATTGAAAATGGAGGGCCGCAGGTTTGAATCCTATGCAAATAATTGAATATCGATTTAAAAATAATATTTATTGAGGTTATTTTATAAATTGACTGTTTTTAAAGAAATATTCGTAATGCGGGATTTGTCTTTAATAAATGAGTATATTTGTTAACTGAATGTATCTATGCGCTACAAATTAAAATAATATTTTAAGCAGCATTAGACACTAAAATATAAATAACTCAATAATAACATAATACCAATTTCATTATAAGTTCAAAATCAATTCTATAGTATTAAATGTAAAGACCAAAAACAGTTAAAAAATTTGTACATCTCAATAATTTCTTATTTTGCTGATTGTTTTTCACGATACCAATAAACTCATACCTATACATTATTGTTTTGCAGATGCCTGTCAGACGTAAACGAATGCGCTTCGAACCCCTGCATCAACGGCGGATCTTGTGAGGATGGAGTCAATCAGTTCATCTGTCACTGTTTGCCTGGATACGGAGGTGAGTTTTACCAGTTAAAGTTTGAATTAAAAAAAAACAATATATCATTTATTAAAAGACCGCCTGAATTCCTTGATACCAAAATAATGAAACTGCTAAGAATTCAAACCTCTTCCAAAGACAGATATTGAGATGTAAGTGTAACTTAAATTAAGAAAGGATTTTTATCCATAAAAAGTTTAAATGCCTATCTAAATATATGAAAAAAGAAAAAAAAAAGTAGAAAAAAAAGAGTGTACTCCTTCTTAAAAGGCCGGCAACGCGTTTGTGACTCCTGAGTTGCAGAGGTTCATAGGCGGCGATGGTCACTTTCCATCAGATGACCTGTCTGCTCGTCTGGCCCCTCTAACATAAAAAAAATTAAGAAATTCTAATGTTACTTACGTGTTGTTGTAGGTCAACGATGCGAACGAGATATCGACGAGTGCAGCTCTAACCCTTGCCAACACGGAGGCACGTGCCACGACCGACTAAACGCTTACAAATGCGACTGTGTTCTAGGATTTACTGGTGAGTAAAATAAACGAGAAAACAAACTCATCTTAGATTTTATTTTTCATTCGTGGTTTTTAAAAACAATCTGAAATAATAACTAAGACTAGCATTCTCGTCATAATATATTTTTAGTGAAAAAATAATAATTAAATTTATTTTTCATCTTAGGTGTGAATTGTGAAACAAACATCGACGACTGTGCCGGTAACCCTTGCCTGCACGGCGGATCGTGCATCGACCTCGTCAACGGGTACCGCTGCGTATGCGCACCTCCCCACTCCGGCCGGAACTGCGAGAACACTCTCGATCCTTGCACTCCTAACCAGTGAGTATACAAAATTTTCCCACCGTTATATATTTTATATTCCAGATTTGTTAAATATCTGAAGACAATAGATTTCAAACTATCTTATTTTTTTTGCATTTGTGATCGAAATATTAGGTAAAGAAGAGACTATATCAATACGCCTATATCTTTTCTCCCTCGTCCAGGTGTCGTCACGGCGGTCGATGCGTGGCGGAGGCGTCGTACGCGGAGTTCACGTGCGCGTGCCCGGTGGGCTGGACGGGCGCGCTGTGCGAGCGTGACGTGGACGAGTGCGGGGTCACGGCGCCGTGCCACAACGACGCCACGTGCATCAACACCGAGGGCTCTTACGCGTGTCTCTGCGCCAGGGGTTACGAGGGCAAGGACTGCGCCATCAATACTGACGACTGTGCCTCTTGTAAGTACCGCTTAAATTAACTATTATTTCATGTACGTGTGATCTTGGTGTGAACAAATTCCTCTACCATTCCACCTCTCATGCTATGCATTTTGAGAAGTGGTATGATAGAACAGATTTCTAAATTTATTTCTTCACATTCTATTATCGCACCATCAAATCATATTTTTATGTTAAAAAATGTTGACTGTTTCACTGGTAGTATTTTATTAAAAAAAATTATATAATACAACTTGATTTCATTACAATTGCTAATAAATCTTTTTCTTACTCAGTCCCCTGTCAAAATGGAGCAACATGTCTGGATAGCATTGGCGACTACAACTGCGTGTGCGCAAGCGGGTTTGCGGGGAAACATTGCCAAGTGGATATCGATGAGTGTCAGTCTAACCCTTGTATGAACGGGGCTACATGTAACCAGGTGAGAACAGTAACTAATGTAACATAGAATAAGGTTCTCGAAAGGCTTAAAACGACCCTGATAAAAGGTATATTTTTTCAGCTCACGTTTAACAGTGTTTAAAAAGTATAAATTATTAAAAAAATACTTGTAATTATTGAAAGGTTTAATTGAGTACAAATTGCAAATAGTAATCTATAGCACATTTAAGAAATTCTGCATATTATTTTTCGTGTCAATCCAAACAGGGTTTAAATAATCAAATACACATTTAAATTAGTGTTTTTAAGGCAATCATAAATTTATTTCATGTTATAATTGAAAAAAAAAAATTAACAACTACAGTGTGTAATTTTGTAATTATTACAGTATAACACATTTTCGAGTAGGGCTAATAAATTAAGAATTTACTTCTTAAGAGTTTAATTGAACTGTCTTTTTCAGTATGTGGCATCATACACGTGCACGTGTCCGCTCGGGTTCTCCGGCATCAACTGTCAGACGAACGACGAGGACTGTACCGAATCCAGTTGTATGAACGGAGGCACGTGCATAGATGGGGTCAACTCTTACAACTGCTCCTGTGTGCCTGGGTGAGTAAATAGATGCGAGAAAGAGTGGGAGAGAGAAATGTACTTCTGTTAGTTATTTTATTCTCTGAGGATTTTTCTATAATGGTTTTTGTATATAATTAGTACCTAAAATTTTCTTCTAATTTTGCTTTTAAACTTCCACAAAATGTAACATATCATGTTGTCACTTCCAGGTACACCGGTTCCAACTGTCAGTTCCGCATCAACATGTGCGACAGTTCACCTTGCGACAACGGGGCGACATGTCACGACCACGTCACGTACTACACGTGCCACTGCCCCTACGGTTACATGGGCAAACATTGCGAGTCTTATGTTAACTGGTAAGTAAAAAAAATAAAAAAGTATTTTTAACACACTGACATCAATAATAGTCTCAAAACTCTTTAACTAGCATTTTGTTAAAAGAGATTTTGAAAGGTAGTTAAAAAGTTAATTCATTATACAATTAAATAAAATTGAAGTGTCTGTTTGTAATGTCAAAAATTATAGCTTTTTTTTCATGCTCACACGGTTATTTGCACGATACCTATGCCTAAAAACCAGTTTTTTTGTCTGTCTGTCTGTTTGTTTCGGGTAATCTTCTAAATGGCTGGACCAATTTCGATAATATTTTACTACCAGCTACCTGTCTACATAAGGAATAACTTAGGCTATTTTTCCTCTCAGAAAAACTCTTCAAAAAAATTTCACGGTCCGGGCATCGAACCCACTAAGCCAGCGCTTTTCAAATTCCACGCAAACGATACACGTTCACAATAGTTAGACTTAGTTAACTTAGAATAAGGCATATGAATGACATATAATACCTATAACATAAATAGGCATAGGGTACAGTCGTAACTAACCAGCTCCTTACAAATTTTCAGTATTTACAACATACAAAAACCTCTATAAGCCATACAACATAATCATAAAGGTGTAAAAAATAACGATTTTCTATTTGTTCAGGTGTGAAGTGAACCCGTGCGAGAATGGCGCGACGTGCTCGCAGAAGGGTCCTCAGTATACGTGCACGTGCGCGCCCGGATGGTCAGGCAAGCTCTGCGATGTGGAGATGGTCTCGTGTAAAGACGCCGCTATAAGAAAAAGTGAGTCATTATTTGTTTCAGATTTTTTAAATTATACAATCTAAAATGAATGTACAATAAATATATGTTTTTTTTTCTAGGTGTAAAATTAAAACAACTATGCAACAATGGATCTTGCGAAGATATCGGCAACTCACATCGCTGTCACTGCTTAGACGGATACACAGGTTCTTACTGTCAAAAAGAAATCAATGAGTGTGATTCAGCACCTTGTCAAAACGGAGCAGTCTGCAAAGATCTTGTAGGGACGTACCAATGCCAGTGTGCTAAAGGTTTTCAGGGTCAAAACTGCGAACTTAACGTTAACGATTGCCTACCGAATCCTTGCCAGAACGGAGGAACCTGCCACGACCTCATTAACAACTTCTCTTGCTCATGTCCTTTCGGTACTCTTGGTAAAATATGCGAGATAAACGTTAACGATTGCAAACAGGACGCTTGTCACAACAACGGCACTTGTATGGACAAAGTTGGAGGGTTTGAGTGCAAATGTCCACCTGGGTTTGTCGGTCCTCGGTGCGAAGGAGATATCAATGAGTGTCTCTCTAACCCGTGCTCGTCCCCAGGCACACAAGACTGCGTCCAACTTGTAAACGATTACCACTGTAATTGTAAGCCTGGATACATGGGCAGACACTGCGATGCCAAAGTTAACTTTTGCGCAAACTCACCATGTCAAAACGGAGGTGCATGTACCGCAATTCAAGGAGGACACGAATGTCTGTGCAACGAAGGCTTCTACGGCAAAAACTGCGAGTATTCTGGTTATGCTTGCGATTCCAATCCGTGTCAGAACGGCGGATATTGTCGGACATCTGAAATGGGATATGTATGCGATTGTCCATCAGGCTTATCAGGCATCAACTGCGAAATTGATTCAATGAACGAATGTCTAAGCAGTCCTTGCAAACATCCAGAAGCAAGATGTATGGACCAACCAGGAGACTACCTATGTTACTGCCCAAGGCATTGGACTGGCAAGAGTTGCGAAATTCACGATCCACACTCTAGAGGTGGATATGGCAGCCCTCTTAACGGCGGATTCAGTTCAAAGAACCCAAGCTTGACTTTCGAGGAGCTAGACCTAGCATTCCAAAGGGAACAATGCGTGAAAAAAGGCTGCAAGGAGAAGCAAGGAGACCACCATTGCGATGAAGAATGTAATACATATGCTTGTGAATTTGACGGCAATGATTGTTCTCTTGGCATCAATCCTTGGGCAAACTGTACAGCGCCGATCAAATGTTGGGAGGTATTCATGGATGGCGAATGTAACGAAGTCTGCAACACTCAAGCTTGTCTATTCGACGGTAGAGATTGCCAGAAGTCCTTGCAACAGTGCAATCCAATTTACGATGCTTATTGCCAGAAACATTACGCTAACGGCCACTGTGACTACGGATGCAACAACGCCGAATGTAACTGGGACGGTCTGGATTGCGAGAATGAACCTCCACATTTAGCCGAAGGTGTAATGTCTGTAACCCTGCTTATGGACATGAGAACTTTCAAGGAAAATTCGGTAGCTTTCCTTCGAGACTTGGGTCATATGTTAAGAACAACAGTGGTTATAAAGAAAGATCATTTAGGTAACGATATGGTAACAGAAAGAGGACAGTCCGGTGTACAAGTTTACTTAGAAATCGACAATAGGAAATGTACGACAATGTCTGGATCTGAATGTTTTTTCTCGGCCAAGGAAGCTGCAGAGTTCTTAGCAGCTACAGCATCTAAGCATTCCTTGTCTCCTAACTTCCCCTACCTCGAGGTCAAGAGTGTGGAGCAAACAGATAACGATCCGCCAGTGCCTACTAATTCCAAATACGTTTTTATCGGAGTAATTTTAGTGCTACTAGCCGGTCTTTTGATCGGTGTGCTAGTGACGGCTCAAAGGAAACGCGCAGCTGGTATCACATGGTTCCCGGAAGGTTTCATACGTAACAATTCCGCAACTAGACGGCATTCCCGCAGACGAGTACCTGATGGACAAGAAATGAGAAATTTGAACAAAGGATCTATTGGGTGTATTGATGTAGATATAAATGGTAGTCATATGGGTCCACCCCACCATTGGTCTGATGAGGACGATGATGGGTCTGCGCCGCCAAGAGCCAAGCGTGCGAGAGGTCCGGGTGACGCGAATGGAGCTCCTGGTGGTTATGCGTCCGACCATACAGCGATCACTGATTATGAAGAGGCTGGTCATGATTCGAGAGTTTGGACACAGCAACATCTGGATGCGGCTGATATTAGAGTTCCACCCAGCATGATGACTCCGCCTGCTATTGTAAGTGTTTTAATTTAATTTATTTTTCAATGCCATTTTGATTGAGTAGGATATTATAGTATTTGTCGTATGAGTATTTTTAACGTATAAATCAGGGATTCCCAAACTCCATACCCAAATTTCTTTTCTCTCTCTCTTTGTGTCTACTCTCTCTAGTTTTTTTCCTATTGATACAAACTGATTGATAGAAAGTTAAGTGACAAAACTTGACATCATTTTCTCATCAAAATTTAAGAATTTTTTTTTTTAAATAAATCATAGGAAATATTATTATAAATTTCTACTTGAGTTGCAGACTTATGTTTGGGCTTGTAGTTCATTCATTCTTGTTAAATCGCGTAAATGCATTAAAAACAGAGCAAGTCAAAACTTGCCTGAAAGACTTGTACGCTCGAACTCGTTGTGTTGCACGAACTTGTCCACGCTTATTGACTTGCCGAGTTAAATAAATAAAAAAAAAATTAGTAATTCTTTTAATAAACTGGTACACGTAACACAACTTATACAGTATCTTGAATGTTGCAAATAAGAACTTGTGTCAATTAATAGGGGTTGAGTTTTAGACCTCGTTCCCCCCACTAATTAATAATTATAGATATAGCCTGGTTCGGGAAAATAACTAAAGCTTTTTAATTCATCTTCATCTAGCACGACCCTCACGGAGTTGAAGTAGATGCAAGAGGTCCATGCGGTATGACTCCTCTGATGGTGGCAGCCGTTCGAGGTGGGGGGCTGGACGCGGGGTCCGACGCGGAGGACGAACAGACCGCACACATAATCGCTGATCTGGTTGCTCAAGGGGCACAGTTGAATGCAGCTATGGATAAAACAGGAGAAACAAGCTTACATTTAGCAGCAAGGTACGAACAAAATATATTATATATTTATGTCATAAATAGAGTAAAATGACTGTTAACAATAATATTAATTCCGGTAGATACCACGGGCTCTGTTAATAAAGTAGAATAGAAATATGTAATGTAGAATTTTCGACTGCACAAATGGCGTAGTGGTTAAAGCAGTCACCTCACTGCTTCCTACTGCTCTGAATGTTGTGGGTGCGATCCTTGTGTGATGCACAAATTGTTGTTCTGAGTCTGGGTGTTCTTTGAGTCCGTTTTATGAATGTTTGTAAAGTCCTCCGCGACACAGGATATGTGCCGGGAGTTTTATTTTATAGAAAATATGTTTATTATTCTGATTACGTCTTGTACCTTTTTTCTGTATGATCTACCACATGTCCTTTATGTAGCAATGTGTATGCAAAAGTCTATAACTATAGGTTGAGTAGCCAAACCTTGAAACCGTAACGAACCGAACCGAAATGAATAAAGTAACACGTTAGTACTCACTTTTACATTTCTGATATTATAGTCACGGTTTTGTCACAAGGTATCTAATTTACTTTGGTCTTCCCCAGGTACGCTCGAGCTGATGCCGCCAAGCGGTTGTTGGACGCCGGCGCGGACGCCAACTCGCAGGACAACACGGGCCGGACGCCGCTACACGCTGCCGTGGCGGCCGACGCCATGGGCGTTTTCCAGATACTGCTGAGAAACAGAGCCACTAACCTTAACGCTAGGATGCACGATGGGACTACACCGCTTATATTGGCTGCTAGGTTTGTAGTCTTTTGTGTTTTATATTTGGTGTCTTTCACTCTTACAGTCATCACAACACGAAAGAAAACTAAAAAAATTACCACTTTGTCAAGTTAAAACTTTATCAAAAGTAAGCAATAAATTGCAAGAAAGTGCTATTATATGTAAATTTCACAAGTCTTCGTTCGGTCTTAGTTAAATATAAACCATTAACAACTACGTTTATCTTAAATTAATATCTAATAAAGAAAGCTGTCTGTACATCTCTATCTTAAAAATATCATGTTGGTCGTTGATATTTGAACAACACAGTTACTACCGGCTACTCGCTGAGGTACAGTGCTAAGTGCTGGATGTTTCCTTTCAGTATTCATTGGACAGTATTTGCCAAAATTGTTATTAACAAATTAAATAAATTTACACAGGCTGGCCATAGAAGGCATGGTGGAGGACCTAATAAACGCAGACGCTGATATTAACGCGGCGGACAACAGCGGCAAGACAGCGCTGCACTGGGCCGCCGCCGTCAACAACATCGACGCTGTCAACGTGCTGCTCGCGCACGGCGCCAACAGAGACGCGCAGGACGATAAGGTAAGAACTAATAACACTGTTTTAAACTAATAATATTTGTGTCAGGGCCTAGGTCCAGCTTAGAAGGGAATTTTAGTCAATTCACAATTTAATCATACAAATCTTTTTTTATCAATCACTGAATTTCTGATTGCTGATGATAATTAAAAATATCTGAGACTGAGACCTTATCAAGTTGATATTGATAAACAATTAACTAAACTACATAGGCTAATACCCTGTTTCCCCAGGGTAGGAAGCAATAGCATTTACGATCCTGATTTAAATGGTGCGCTTGATCCACATGTATAAACTCAAACTGTTTACGGTAAAAAAAAATTGCCTACGCAGGCAATTTTGCCTGCCTGATTAATATTCTAATCTTGACTCAGTGGTGCAGTGGTAGCGTATGCGATTGATGTGCCGAGGTCTCGGATTCCATTCCCAAATCGGACCAAATGTTTGTATGATCTGCAAATATTTGTTTCGGAGTTTGGGTGTTTTCTATGTATAATATGTATGTATTTTTAAAAAAAAGCATATTAGTATTCTATCAGTCAATCTAGCTTTCATATAACAAGCTCTGCTTAATTTGAAATTAGATGGCATTGTGTGTCAGATGTCCGAAAATATTATTATTAATCGAAATACACTTAGTATTAGTAAACTAAACATTACCTTTGCTCCCATAGGACGAAACACCATTATTCTTAGGAGCTCGCGAAGGTTCATTCGGCGCGTGCCGTGCTCTACTGGACGCGCTGGCCAACCGCGAGATCACCGACCACATGGACCGACTGCCGAGGGACGTGGCGCAGGAGCGGATGCACGATGACATCGTGCGGCTGCTGGACGAACACTGTCCCAGGCATCCGCCGCAGCATCACCATCTCATGTGTAAGTGCTTACACCTTCATGGTCATTTTTACATGAGTAAGGACGTAAGAATTAGAGTAAGACGTGAAAAGAAGTTAAGACCTATGAAGAAGAAAATAGGAAATTCTGTAATCTTCTACAAATTACTAGATTCTACATTTATGCAGTTAGTTTGTTATTAAAGAGAAAGATACAAATAAGAGAAAGATACAAAAAAATAATTGTATAAATAATATAACAGGCGGTAACTACAATGAGTTTTCTTACTGCCAAGAGCTACTTACAAATAACCTTTGGATCTAAAAAGAGATAAAATATAGAGCTAGAGTACACTAACATTTTTAAAAAAGAAACAGCGAATTGACTAAAATATAGAGTACACTAACATTTTTAAAAGTGAAACAGCGAATAAGAAGGTTTACTTTGACATTATTTGCCTAATATAAATATTCTTCCACAGCATCACCAAACCCGCACCCGCAGCTGATAAGTCAACCTACGGTGATAAGCACGGCTGCAAAAGGCAAACCCAAAAAGTCCCGCGCCAAAGCGGGGCCGGACAGTCCGCAAGACCAACCTTATGACAACAATAATTTACAAACGACACAGATTAGACGGTAAGTGTTAAAAAAAACTGTATAAGCAATAATTAAAATGGTTAATCGATGAAATTATCTACACTTTCATAAAAAAACATGTTCTATTACTGTACAAGCAAAACTAACCCTAATACTATCTAAGTTTTATAACGATTTAAAAATGTTCTGTCTTTTATGTTATCACAGGAAAGCGAGTGTAAAAAAGAGCAATAAAAAAGTGGCGCAAGAAGTGCCACAGAGTGTGGAGAGCCTCGGCTCTAGCCTCAGCCCAGTAGAATCTCCGCTACAAAATTTACAGGTAACATATACTTTCTATATTTTCAAACAACAGATCCGTTCACTACGTAGTGTATTTTCAATTTTGTGAACTTTCAAATGCCTTCGACCATTTGTATCATGATATAATCGTATACCACATAATAATGCACTGTGATATAGCTATGTAAAGTTATGTTTATAATGGAATTTTAATTCATCTTCATCATTCATTATTTCTGAATTTCATAATAAGTTTATCTATATGTAAATACGGTGGGAGTACTACAGGGTTCCAATTTAGGTCCTGTTGTTAACGTCATTAAACATGAGCGTAACAATGATTGAATGTTTCCAGGACTTGCCGTCGCCGTACGACGCGACGTCGCTTTACTCGAACGCCATGGCGCAGTTCGTGCTGGAGCCGCGCGTGCAGCACAAGCAACCGCCCAGTTATGAAGACTGTGTCAAGGTATTACTCTTTTTAAAAGTTATTCTGTTATATACTATGCAATAAGATTTATTTAAATTAAGTGATCTGCTTTTTTATAATTGTGATCTGATATTTATGTAAAATTTGATATAAAAATTATGAAAAGTTGCTAAAAATAACTGCCAATTATAGGGGGTTCGAGTTCCCCACGGGACAAAAGTTTGTGTAATGTATAAATAGTTGTCTCGAGTTTTTAAGTATCAGCTGTACATTATATAGTTTTGTTTACTTGTAATATAACGTCTACAAAATTATGTTTGCAAGTAAGAGACTTCTGAACAAAAAAATAAAAAATATATTTACATAAACAAACATAGATTGCTTGTCTAGTTTAAAATGTGATGTATATAATTGGTACCCGATTGACCGTGAGTAGTGGCACATCCCGCAGACGGGTGCGGCGCTGCAGCAGTCGTTCGGCGGCGGCCTGTCCTCGCTGTCGCCGCCATACTCCAACCACTCGCCCACGCACAGCAACCACACCACCTCCCCGCACGCCTATATAGGTGAGTCCATTTATTTATTTATTACTAGTTTCATTAAGTCTGGTTTCCTGCGGGAAAATGGGGTAAGATACCTTATGTAAACAACCTGTAAGAGTAAAGACACAGAAACAAACTCATATTTTTGTTTTATAATATTAAAGTCGAGATAACCTTAAGAACTATATGTGTATTTAATATTTACTTTTTTACTATACAGTAGAATACGTCGAAAATTAAATTTGTGAGTCGCGAAATCAAGCGTGACAAATACGATTATTAAAAATTATGAAATCATACCTAATGGTTGAACAACTCACTGGGAACATTTTGTCACGTATTAAAATTAATACTGAAATTTCAAATTATTCGTCTGCCGCTTGTGGCTAATGAGATATTAAGTTTCTTGGCATTTGTATTATTCTAAACGTAATATTAAGATGAATAACAGGTGCGAAGATGCTAGTAATCAAAATTGAGCCTTAACGTATGTGAATAAGGTGGATAACGAGTGTCGTTTACGTGCAGGGTCCCCGTCGCCGGGCAAGTCGCGGCCGTCGCTGCCGACGTCCCCGGCGCACATGGCTGCGCTGCGCCACTCGCACCAGCACCAGCTCGACGCCGCCGCGTACTCCGCGCTCGCGCACCTCAGTCAGTACCTACTTTGACACCAATCCATCGTCGTCACTGTACGGATAGCGTAGTGGTTTAAGCGGTCACCACGCCGAATGTTGTGGGTTCAAACCCCACATGGGACTACACCTTGTGTAGTTCACAAATTGTCTGGGTGTTCTTTGTGTCAGTTTCATGTATGTTTGTAAAGTCCCGCGCGACACCATATATATTCCTTATGCGGGAGTTGTCTTTAAAAAAAAACTATTTTTAATTATGTGTAAACTATTTTTACTGTCGATGAGGTCAATCATTGTTTATCAAATGTAATGCTTATTTTTTTATTTGCGCTACAGAATCTTGTGCGAGTCTCAGATGAGATAAGGAATTAAGACTTTAGTAGCTCGACTAAAAGTCATCAGGGCATTCTAAAATATGTTTTTTCTTCTCTATCCACATCGTACAGAGTCCTATAAAACGTGAGCTAAATATGTTTCAAATTCATAAAAATATTATGTACTTCCTAGCCATATTCTCAAATTCGGTTAAAGTTGACTTTCATTGTATTACATCATGGCTGAACTTCGATTTTATACGTAGAGCGACTGTAGACCTCCAAAACTTAAGTACTAACTGAAATCGAAGTTCTGTAGACAGGCTGTTGTCGAAACGATGGTTTAATATCCCTTAAGAGCAACGTCCCTCTTTTCCTCGGCAAGCACATTAAATCGATGTGTTAATGGAATGGTCATCCATCCATAGAGTTATCTGGTTAGAAGTGAAATGAAATACCTGCATGAATATGTGTATATGTATAAATAATGTAATGGTTGTGGTCAGGCGCTAACGGTCAGCACGCGGGCAGCGCGCTGCAGGCCGCCATGACGCACGCGGCCGCGCTCAACCAGGCGCAGGCCGCGCACCACCCCGCACTCAACATGATGTCCGGTCAGTACCCGCCCGCCTACTAATCTAACATTCTTAATTCCGATTGATTTCCGAGGTTTTAAAGTGCCTCTGTGACCCGGATTTATTGCTCTCGAGCATATTATAATTTTATTTCAGAAATAAGAAATGTTAAATATATAATATTGCAAAAAATGTTTATCGCCTAGAGTAAAAAACAATTATGCCGAAATTTAATCTTAAATAAATAGACCAAAATAAAAATGTTTTCTTTTTCTTTATTTAACAGATAATAAACAAAACTCTAAGCGTGTCTATGTTTCAATTTTTTTATTTCAACAAACATAATACGAAACCCATTTTCTTTCTCCAGGTTTATACGGCTGGGGGATAGGTGACACGTTCCCCACACCATCACCGGAATCCCCAGAACACTGGTCATCGCCATCGCCACAGACGCCACTGACGCAATCGCCTCACTCGGACTGGTCGGACCGCGCCGCGCTCTCACCCAATGAGATACAACAGACCAATAAGAGCGGCACTGAAGCCATTTATATATAGAATAGATTCGAGAATTATGGTGTTTTAATGTAGGGGATGTTTTGTTGGATCGCTATTATATAAGCAAATGTATTGTGTGAGCTCAGAAAACTATCGCAAATTTGCTATGATATTGTTTATCGAGCATAAGTAAGCTGTTAGGAGATCAATTGTAGTATAATAGATGAATTTGTTTGAAATATTTGTAGTGAACTTTGAATTTTTTGAAATGGACATGTTCTTTTTTAAATAGCTCAAATTTAACGTCATATTTGTATCTTTCCAACAAAGAAGTTCGCCCCGTGAAATGTAGGAACACCCAGCATGCGATCACTGTACAGAACGACTTGTAATATAATGTTCGGTGTCCATTGCGCGTTGAAGACGACGCCGAGCAGAGTGCCGTAGACATAGACTGACTTGTATGTACAGCATGACCGTGTATAGGTTAACATAAGAACTAACATCCCGTGATCATTAACTAGCATTCCCTTCGGTGTATTTTTTGTGTGATCTGTTCAAAGATGCATTTATTAAATAAGTGACATGTCATATAAAAATAGTGTATTGGGTGAAATTTTAAGATCAATTTATTTTAAATAGTTTAATATTACAATAAAGGGCCATGGAATATATTGTAACTATAAAACTTATCTGCTAAAATTGTTTCACGTATTTTTTATGTAATAATAATAAGTTTGTAATCTTTGGATGCATATAAAACCTTTTACAAACTTCCCTACTGCTAAAACTGAATTATTGAAGGACACATACAATAATATTGTATATTTAACTGTTTTGTTTGTTATGAAGTTACTGAGCCATGAAAATGCACCGAATAACAATCACAAATATAAATGACACTTGTTACGTTGTTGTTATTTTTAATATTTACTTGTTTAAGTCGTGGACCATTGGTTTAATGCATATGAGATTGTTAAGCGTGGCCTGAGCCGGCGCGCAGTTGAAAGAAAAGTTATTTATGTGTGATTCTAGCACCTAGACACGTGCTCTTAGTGTAGATAGTTACATTTTGTTTTAAAGCTGACGTAAATGTTTAATTCAAATTTCGAACCTTGTCTATAGAATTGTATAAATAAAAAAAAGTGTATTTTGGCGCTAACACTGACAATGACATCGGCTATTTATTTTGGCTTTAAACACAAACTGTTTAGTGTTTAAATGTAATATTGACTGAGATTGATGCCCGTAATCGCAATTTCTCAAGTTTTAATAGTTTTTTTTATATTGTTTCACTGAATTTTATTATTTGATCTGGCAATAATCTCAGTTTTTAATATTATAGTTGATAATTTAAATATCTTCCGTTTTGTCAAATCATTCCATAATAATCTTCCATTTTGCTGATGTGTACAGAGGAAGGAATTGTGAGTATTTTTTTTTATAAACATTGCATTACTAGTTTAATTGTTTTATACAAAGGTGGAAATAAAAGTTAAAGTTTAAGTGTATAAAATGGCCACCTCTGACATATGGTGCAAATTTTCTAATTGATATAAGATCTCATCCATTCCATTTTCGCTTTAAAAGAACAATTAGTGTGTTGTATTAGCTAAAGCGGTACCATTCATGCTCAATTTTACTCAATTCCATAACATACTCTTTTTACATTGTAATATATTTTATACAATTAAGTATTTTAAAATGTTTTTTTAGCTTCCCGATGTTGTCTCGCCTCTATTATTGTAAATATTTTTATAATTTTTGATATGTAAGTAATATTTAAATTTCGATGAAATAACTGATCTTCGTAGGTGTATGTTAGTTTTAAGTTTTTATTTTAATAATAATATTTTTTTTGTGTCATCGTAATGTGCCAATGAGCAGACTTTGAATATATCGTGTAAAGCACAGATTGATATTAATTTACATAGTATGTATTACTAGTTGTAGACATATAGGTCTATGGTTAAGCGAATTGTGCTTCCTAAATGCTTAATGTAAGCAAATCTATATCGAACCTCTGAAAATAGTGGATATTGGCTGAAGTACAAAAAATACATATTCTTCAAAAGACAATACAAATAAAAGGAATTAAAAAAAGACTGTATTAATATTTTTAGAGTGATAAATACATGTTTATGACATATTTAAATGTATTTTTGTAACGGTTTTGTACATCTGGCATTTTGTAATGTATACGTGACACGTTTTTAATGCAAGGGCACTTAAAATAAAAGAAACCATGATCTACGCTCCGTGTGCCTTTTATGTTAAACTATTGTAATTTAACCTATTGCATTGGTTTAGTTTCGTAGCAATAGTTGATAAAATTGTAAATATAATTTTAATAACAATTGTTTTCATTGAAGATGATTGCATTTAAATTTAAGGAAGAAATGAAATTTTAATAAATGTTCTCCCGTAATGACAATAAAGGAATAAAATAAAAATTGTAGTTTCCTTTCTCGGAACTTAACAATATACCTAACTTATTTATGACCTCATAAAATCTTACCTATCTTGGTTTTCATAATTTGCAACATCAAAAATTGCAGTCATAATACATTGACCGCAGGCGGCGATCAGCTGTATACGCGGCGCGGTAGCATCACACGTTTGCCGTTGCCGCTTTTACTACACTCGAATTGAACGAAATATATTGATTATTGCGTCATCAATTTGAAGGACACGCGTTTTTAACCGTTCACCAGTAAGTACAGTCAGTAGGCCCTTAGAAACCGCGATTCGCCGAGTGTTATGCTGTTGTGTCCTTGTGGATGCGCTCACGACGAACTTTGTTGTGAATGCGATATTTGTTTAGCCTTATTGTGTTTGTCATAATACACGGCAATGGTGTGAACAATTATGGTATCATGTGTGCAAGACTTCATGTTGTAACGAGTCCCGCTAATTTTATTTTGAAAAGTGTCAATATTAGTTTGTGTAGTGTAGTGTGCGTGAAACTGAGTGCATTATCAGACTTTTAATTTTATTGTGTTATCGGTATCAACATCCATAATGCCGTGAGTGACCTTCACAGCCGCGGAAAATCCTGACATGATGTTAATTTACGGGGAACTCTATCAAAACGCATCTTTAGCTTTACGGACAAACCGTGGTATGGAATCAATCGTGTATGTCCTACAGACTGCCGAAATTTTGTAAGGGCGCGGCGGTACAAAGATTACGAGACAAAAAAAGTACCTACTTTTTCAAGGAGTGACACGTATTTTTAATAAATTGATTTTAAGAAGCAAGTGACGTAAGTGATAGTAGGCAATAAGAATGTAAAGTTCGCAGCCTCGTCTCGGCGGCGGCGTCGCTTTGATGTCGCCGGCATTGCGACATGTCATTGCCGTGTACAAAAAAAATTAAAATGTGCATGCAATGTGCCGTGTAAATTTGCCTTTTTGTATTTTCGCACTAATTTTATTTTAATTTTAACTGACGCATATTGAACCGTGTTATCTGTTTTTTTTTGTGAAAATCTTTATCACAGACTGTATAACAATTTACTAGTGACTTGAACTCTTGATCTTCAGAAAGTATAACAGTTACGTGAATTGAAAGACTTAACTATAGGTAAATTAGTGCCTCGCGATTCGAATTGCACTTTATTGTATAGGACCGAGAGTCGCTGTTTATTTACGACACTTTGTGTGATCCACGAATTGTTGTTCTGAGTCTGGGTGTTCTTTGTGCCCGTTTCATTTATGTTTAGTACGATAGTTTAGTAAGATATATTACTAATGCGGGAGTTGTATTTTAAAAACTTCGTTCTTTCGATGTCATAGTTACTTCCTATTTTGTAAGCAGGTTCTCATAACAATTCATATCTGACATCAAGTAATGATATCATGTTTTACGACATACAAGCTTATCATTAAATAAATTAATATAAGAAACACTGACAGCGTCCTTCAGAATCATCAGTTTGTTAGAATTATCTTAGAGAGAAGGGGACCAATTGTAAGGTTTAATTAGGTATAAAAATGAGGGTATTTTAATATTTACAGATGTTCTTCGTCAGTGTACTGAAACGTACCTTACTTAAGTAATATTCAAATACCTTCAAATTGAGATTTGAGAGTCTTGACAGTGTTACATAAAGAGTTTCAGGTTTTGTTTGTGGCAAATAGCAAAGGAAACATAATATAAAATAGTTTTTGGTAAGTACACGTTTAATAAATTAATGTGTAGGCTGTGACCCCGGAAAGGACCTGGCTAGGCGCGGCGTCGATCCGGGGCTAACCTGAAATAACAATGCCCTGGTCCTCCTCAGAGCAGGGCGACTGAGATCGGTTGTCAGGATGGTTTTTAGTGAAACACCCCATAGAAGCCAGGAGGGCTTCTATTTCCCCGAAGAGCCGGAGATACGAAGGGATTTTCCACCCCGTCGACAAAAAAAAGGCTGTGACAAAGACTTATATACCTGCAAACAAATATATTGTGTTTCTTACGGTGTACTTATAACTTAAAAAATATTTTGTACCTACTTTCTTAATAAATGAAGTTTTATTACGAATACAGTTTTATCCATAATAAGAATCATTTAATTTATACTTGCAGCTAAGAAGTGAAGTTTACTGCAAGTACATGGAAAATATTGTTAATTTGAATCATCTCCATACAAGATCTACCAAAGTATCCTAGTAAGTTATCAATCTGTTTGATATTACTATCAAGAAGTATGTGTGGCTACGGAACCAATACATCTAGGTATATTGGTTTCCTATTCTATGTGATTACCGTTAACACATTTATTTAAATAACCTATTTTCATAAACATAACTTACATTCATACTAATATTATAATTGCGAAAGTGTCTCTGTTTATCTGTCTGTCTGTTACCTCTCCACGCTTAAACCACCGTACCGGTTTAGATGAAATTTAGTAAAGAGATAGTTTGAGACCCGGGAAAGGGCACATGATAGATTGTATCCTAGAAGTTAGTTTAGTTTAGTTCCCTACTCCAGAAATTAAATTAAACAACCTATCTTCTAAATTTTAATTACGATGGTCATATTTAGTCAAGTTTCATGTTTCATTTTAAGATGCAGGCACGCGATGGGCTCATAGCCCACTGGTGGGTCGGAGCTGTGGCCATCGGAGTACTTTTGACATTCATAATTACGGGCAATGTAGCTGTATTAGCGGCGCTTCGCCGCACTCGACGTGCGCCTGCGCACTATCCTCTAGCAAGTTTGGCTGCGGCCGATTTGTTGGTGGGACTTTTTGTTGTGCCCATAGCTGCTGTTAGAGAGCTTTTTGTAATTCATTTACGTAAGTATTTTAAAACATAGAACATTATTTACGTTATATTATCAGTGTATTATCTAACTCGAACTAATGACCACCTTCCGCCTTCGTTCCACACGGCATAATTTTCATCCCTACCACTTGGATAATTGGCACTCTACCACTATGCGCTTTTTGACAAGACACTTTTTGCATCGCATTACCAATCTGTGGAACAAGTTATATGCTGCGATATTTCCGGACCAATACGACCTTCAAACCTGCAAGAAAAGAGCGTACTCCTTCCTCAAAGGCTGGCAACGCGCTTGTGACTTCTGAGTTGCAGGCGTCTGCTCGTTTGCCGCCCTATTCCATAAGCAAACAAAACATAAAATAAATACATGTATTTGAGTTGGGTTTTATGATATGGCTACTAGAAATAATTATGGCCTTAGACAAATATATAGTGGAGTAACGTAGTGTGTGTAACTATAGAGAAATGTATTTCCTTAAGAAACCTCTGACAATGGAAGAATTATAGTTTATCTTGTCGCATAGTGAGAAGGACTCAATATGGGACAGTATAGAGCTTAAATTAAAGAAAAACAAACTTATGATCCGGCTGTGGTTCAGTCGGATGTTTGTTTCCAATTTAAAAATGTACTCAACTGGGTAAAATGTTTCATTAATAATTTACAGATTACCTTCTCTGCACCTTTTGGGAAACCCTAGACGTATTCTGCTGCACAGCATCCATTCTTTCCCTTTGCACGCTAGGTTGGGAAAGATGGAGTGGCATAACAGCTCCTCTAGCAAGAGTCAAAAGGGCCAGACGGGCCAAACTCCTTGCTGCTCTAGTCTGGCCTATCTCTTTTGCAGTAGCATTGCCAACTGCGTTCGTGTATGTGCCGAAACATCACCTAGGAGAGTCGGATAAAGCATGCCCGGATAATATGAATGTTACGTGAGTTTATGTTTAATGTGTTTTATTAAAATCAAATGTAATAACTTTTAAATTGTTATAAATATTATAAGATTTTCTGTATAAGTAGTTCTTCTGAATATTGTTCTGTCCCTAATGTTACCGCGTATTTCAAAGTACGAGTAAGATCTCAGACACACCCTCTTTCAAAGATTAAGTTGCTGTACGTAAAAAGACGGCGTCTCAAAGAAATTTAATGGCAAAGCCAAGCTAGTAACTCATTATTTAAAGTTGACATATGACATCGAGAAAAATTAAAAGAATTTTTTTTTTTATATCTCATTTTAGTCAAAGTTTTGACGAAAGGAAACTATTGTAATGTGAATGGAAAAGTAAAAAAGCTAATGTAAAAATATTGGGGTATTTTCTTTATATTTGTTTCCATTTTTCTCCATAGGTACGTATTCGTGAGTTCGTTTCTGTCGTTCTACCTGCCGGGCAGTGTGATGGTGGTGCTGTACGCTCGCATACTTTGCGCTTTGTCCATTCCACCGCAGATTCGCTCGCATAGAGGGCGTTCGCCGCGACCGCATTCCTCTCCGATTGTAGGTACAATTTAAATAGTGTTTATTTTTAATGGTAACTTCACATTAAATGTATGCAATAGATCATTTAATATCGCTTTTATTAAAAATATACCTCACACATGTCACACACGGCTGTCTGATCCCAAACTAGTGCTATGGTAACCATAGTGTTGATAAACATACTTTACGTATTATAGATAAATTACACCCAGACACAGAACAAATGACCGTGCTCATCATACAATATTTGTGTCCTGGGTGGGAATCGAACCCACGACCACCGAGTTGCAAGTCCAACAGGCCCAGGTAGGCGGGCAGGGTTTAAGGGTCATCTGTTGTAAAATATATTTTTAAATCCGTCTGACCCACATGAATTAGTGCGTTTAACAGGAAAAAACTGTAGCTGTTTAAGTGTAGATTAATTGTTTAATTCAACAATTTTAATTTATTTAAAATACATACATTTAAGTTACAATTATATATTTTTTTTTTTAAGTCAGATCATATAACCCGCCCCGCGTCGCTCCCGGTGCAAAGGTGCCCATGATACTGGCAGCATTGCCTCGATGAATTGCAACGGACATTCTTTGCACCAGAAACGAGCCGGAGCGGGAGTCACCACTTTTTTCCCTAACTCGGCGACCAATCTCCGCAATTAACTTTTTAGCTTCTGACCCCCAACTGCCCAAAGTCTCCACCGCACCGCACCGTCTCCATTGCGGCGTATTTTGATCGCCTATTGTTTAATTATCTTCTTTTTTTTTCTGTACTTCTAGTGTTTGTCAAATAGGCCTTCTAACTTTTTTACTCCTCGCATAATGCAATGTTTTAAGTGGTAACTTCATTACTGTGCCGAGTTTTGTGTTGGAATTCCATACGAGACAAGTCAGTGTGATCCACAATTCTTCATCATCAGCAGCCGTTAATTGTCTACTGCTAGGACTCTCCTTAGAAAAGAGGTTTTGGCCTACAATACCACACTGGCCAGACACCCGTCTGGTATAGAATTTGTTTCAAATTTGCCTTCTTTTTGCAGTGATGTGGTCCTGCGTAGTTTGCTCCCATAGTCGGCTCTTACGACACGCACGGGGTAAATAGGGGTTGTGACATTCTGTATTCTTAATCCGTCACCACACGGACATAATTCACAATTCGTCAATTCATAAACTCTTCGTGTCCATCTTACTAGTGCGGCTGTAGTTCTAAACCTAAAACACTAACACTAAACTTTCAGGTTCAAAATGGGAATACTGCCATAGCGAAATGTAGTACACCGTTACCTCTGCGGAACGCACCAGAGACACAACATAGTCCAATGTAAGTAGGTAAAGTTAATCCTCTGAAACATTTCTAATGAACATTTTCTTCTTTCTGGTTAGTTTCGAATAGCTTTTTAGGATTATGAAAAGGAAAATCTCTCACATATATGTAATTCGGGTCCTGGGTGCCGGGAACGCCGACTCGTCACATAACCGCTGGGACAAGAGTAGAAGACCAAACAATCCTTCTTGTAAATTGTTGCAAATGCAAATGTAATTGCTCTCAGCAAAAGGTCTCCAAATCCAAATCAGTTTTTGTCTCAATAAAGAAACAAACACACACACACATTATCCAAATGGTCAATGAGATGTTTTAGTGGTTTATCTTTATTAACCTAACGATTCAGGCTCCTGACTCCGAAAGGCTGCAAGCTGAGTCTACCTGAAGGTTCCAAGCAATTCAACTGCGATATTCCAGAGAGAGGAAAAACTGTAGATGTAAAAAATACTAGGTAAAACAATTTCAATTTTATTTCCTAGTTATTTTAAAGTCTGTATGGAACAGTATGAGGACTTAAATATGCAGTTTTATATCTCAAATGTTGTTTTGTTGTCTGTCAAATGTCTACCATCAACAATAATCCATGTATAATATACCAAAATTCTTTGATTCAATCCATTTAAAGGTTAAATTTTGTATTAAGATGGCGTTCTTATTCATCGTTTAAGATATAGTAGAGTACAGGGTATACTATGTACTTGTGAAACACTTCGAGCAGTATCAGTTTTATACTTCTGCTAAATAGGAGATGCTGCTTTGTTAAATCATACGATTTATAAATAATATAATCACACCTGCAACAAATTTACAAAACCACTGCGATTTATTATTATTATTACGCTAGCGCCAGACTCGCGAAAGGTGTAATGGCATGGCATTTATGTTTGTCTATGACCAAATCACAATCACATGTGAAACCCCTTGACAAAAATGAATAATTTTATCATATGAATATGATTTAAGAGTAGCAATAATTTCCATGTCTACTGCTCACGAGAGCTCCAGATATCGTCAGACAGGCACTTTTTTTTTTGTACTGCATTGTTTTTTTTAGGTAGTGAAATTTAAAACAAATATTAGGCAGTGTATTAATTTATAGTGGATACTTTCAGGACTGGTATAATTCCTCGGCAACGCCGCGCCACACGCACCATAGTGAGGCTGATGGTATTGTTTCTAGCGTGCTGGACACCATTTTTTATAACAATGCCTGTTGGTGAGTAGAACAGAGTCGATTCTTAACAAAGAGGAATCTTTATTATTACCACTTGGGACCGACAGAAAACAAGTTTTCAAAGATAGTGTTACGAGCTAGGGTGCAGCTTTACAAATGGAAGCAATTCATACAATTTAAATTGAACAGTATAATTCGCATTAAACAAAAATTCTAATAATCGTTTGTAAAAGCTTTTATTTTTTACACTTGTTTCTATAGTCCATTCGCGTTAAGAAAATAGTGACGTATTGAGTGACCGGGCGGTCACTCAATACGATCCACGATATCCAATCAGGTTCCAAGCTTTCGTACGAAATGATAATTTGTTGTGGAAGCAATTGTGTGTTTAATTTACTTATGTATAGATAGGAATTAATCTTATTTTTCATATAACATTTAAATTTTTATTAGATTCCCTTTGCGACTGCGTAAAAGATTCGATCTGGCAGTGGTTCACGTGGCTCGGATACACCAACTCGGCATTGAACCCGCTCGTGTACGCAGCAGCTTCTCCGAGCGTACGACTAGCGATGCAGGCGTCGCTGTCCAGCTCAGCGAGACCTACTGAGATACAATTGACGCCTAATAGGAGATTATGAGATATAGGTAAATAAATACTGGTTAACGATCCTGACTGCTAGGATTGTGCGATCGGAATGTTTTTTTTTTAAATATTTTCAGACATTTCACACACAGCCGCCTGATCCCTAACTAGGCAGAGCCTGTACTGTGGTAACCAGACTGCTGATAAACATACTTATATATTTCTAAATACATACATATTATAGATAAAGTACACCCAGACACAGAACAAATGACCGTGCTCATCACACAAATATTGGTCCTGGGTGGGAATCGAACCCACGACCTTTGGCTAGTTAGGGCCACTAACCACAAGACCAACAGGCCCGGTCATAGGTTCTGTGTCTAGATGAAATTTATCTAAAATATTATGTGGGTGTGTATTAGTTCTGAAAGTTGTCACATTAACAGAATGGATTAGAGACACCTGAACTTAGCCGATATGTGAATGCTGAGATGGATATGTGGTGTGACTCGGATGGACAAGGTTAGGAATGAGTATATACGTAGTGACGGATTAAGAATACAGAGTGTCACCACCAGAGCAAACTACGCAGGACAACAGCGCAGCAGAGAGAAGGAAAACTTGACATAAACCCTATACCAAAACGTCTGGCCAGCGTGGTATAGTAGGCCAAAACCTCCTTTCTAAGGAGAGGCCTATGTCCAGCAGTGGACTATTAAAGGCTGTTGATGATTATGATATACGAGGGAGCCTGAAAGTAGCGCCACTGGATGAAAAGTTAAGAAGTAATAGGTTATCTTGGTATGGACATGTCATGCGGAAGAATGAGGTAAATGTGGCGAAGAAAGTGTTAGGTATGAGAGTTGAGGGGTACGAGAGAAGAGAAAGACCAAAGGAAAGGTGGATAATAATATAATAATAATTCTACCACATTTACACAACGCCATCTAGTCCCAAACTAAGCAGAGCTTGTACTATGGGTACTAGACAACTGATATAAATACATTTATACTTTTTTTTTGTAAATACATACATATTATACATAGAAACACTCAGACCAAATCAAACATTAAATGTTCATGCACACAAATGTTTGACTTGAGCGGGAATCGAACCCGCGACCTTTAGAATAGCAGTCCGTTCCACAAACCACTACGCCATCTGGTCGTCAGATGATGAGAGAGATGGACTGTGTGAGTGAGGATATGGCTGGGAAGGGAGTCAACAGTGAGATGAAGAATGATAGAGTAGAATGGAAGAATCATACTTACTGCGCCGACCCCAAATAAAGTTGGGATAAGGGTAGGCAGATGATGTATTTAGAAATATATAAGTATGTTTATCAGCAGTCTGGTTACCATAGTACAGGCTCTCCCTAGTTTGGGATCAAGACAGCCGTGTGTGAGATCACAAATGTTACACACGGTCGTCTGTTGAGCCATGGACCGGCTCGACCGGAGTGATACCACGGCCTCACAGAAAACCGGTGTTAAGCAATTCTTTCGTTGTCTTTCACTGAGTGAGTGAGGTTACCGGAGTCCAAATCTCCCCTCTCGCCGACTCGAGCCAGAGGGACTCCAAGGGTGGCAACGCATTTGTGACTTGAGTTGCAGGTGTCCATGGGCGGTGGTAGTTGCTTACCATCAGGTGAACCCTCTGCTCGTTTGCCCCCTTATTCCATAAAAAAAACATTTATTTTAGTATCAGGTAACTTTAAATAAAATAACAGATAAATTTAAAAGAAATAATATTTATTTACACAATGCATTCAATATTATGTGTACACTTCTTTGGCATAAACACTACCCATTCATTAAACAAAAAAAATAATTAAATTGCACTCGCAAAAATAGTATCTAAAGTGGATTTTAATCTACTCTTAAAATGTACAATATTTAACAACAACAATATTATTTACAGCTTACATAAACTTTTAAGAGAATAATAAACAATGTAACAACCTAACAGCTATTGTGCGATATATATTATATTTTTTAATTTATATTTCTTGATTAACACTGTACAAACAAAGATTAAAAGGGGTATATTCTGCACAATCGACATATTCCTGATATATGTCTATCGTGAAAATCATTGACTCTAGTAGACAACAGACGATTGGGATCATTTTGTTTAACATAGATTTGTTCGCTATATAAATTATTAATGATTTCTTTGTTCATAACAAATTTATATTTTCATTAATATTATCACGTACATTTGTATTAGGTACTTAAAATATTTGGAAATAATTCTACATTACCATATTATGTCGATATACGATATTATGCAGTTGTTTTAAATGTTAAAAGGAACATTTTTGTTACCAAATGGCAACATTTTCATGTCGTTTGCACTACTCTTTGCGTCCTTTTTACTATCAGAATAGGCACTTGTTTTAAATAAGAAATAGGTCTACAAAATCCGACACGAATATTACTGTAATCTATGAACTCGCTTGACCTTTTAAAACTGACGTGATTCAGAGGCTGGATTTTAAAGTCCTTTTTTACAAGATTGCAGCTTAAAGACGGTTATGTTTTTAGAGTGTTTGTATGTATATTGCTTTGGCACGCTCTGTAGCATAAACGGTTTGATGGATTTTGTTAGATAAGACAAAATTATGAGTGACACTGGATATATTAAAATTTAAGTTTAAGTTTTAAGTATACATATTCACGCAGTAAGGTATTTTGTTTTTTTCAATAGTTAGCTTGTTGTGACACAAATTTATATTTAACATCGATAGACTTTCTCTCTTTTAAACAATTCTGTCGAAGTTATTTAATTCACAGCTGGTATTTTAATATGGCGGCTAGAGTCAAGAGTGCGGCCACAAGTAGAGGAGGTTGTGACATCGTGCTGGCGGCGCCAAAATCACGGGCGTCGGGAGTACACGTTTTGCATGTACAGCGACCAGAGAGGCAGTACCCCGGTTCGTCTTCTTCAGACACGCATTCCTGGTAGATTAAAAATAATGATTTTCTTAAAAAAAAAATGAGAAATGCAGACGATATGTATTACACGCCAAGAACATATATTTGACATTCTGTCTCGACAGGTTTTAAATTTTATAAAAAAAGTGGAATTATTTAAGTGATAAGATTTTTCCAACTTTTTATTTACTTCGTCCATAGCAAATGTTATAAAGATCTGTAGCATTAATTATTTGGTCAATAAAAGACATTGCATTAACAATAAAATTTTAAATAAAATGATTCTTGTTATTCTTCAGTTGTGGGTTTTCTTGGATGAGTTTTATCCTTTTATCTGCTCTAATATGTTTGACTGTACTGGTACTGTTTCTCTGTCTGACCTGTTTGCTCAAGTTCTTTTTACTGCTTATTTTACAAGAACATATAATACAATCATTCTAGGTTTATTTTCTGATCACAAAACACATTTTAGTCAATAATTACTATTTTTACTATGCTGTCTGATCATTGTTTGTACTAATTCCATACTTTCATAATGATCTTTTAACTATTTGCTATAGATGTGACAGTGCTGTGAATAGATGTATTTGTAATTTTTATGTAAAAGTGAAAAATAAACTTAGATAATAACCCACTTTAAAAATATTGAATCTTTACTTTTATTTATTATTAAGTTTATTAACTATAAATTTATATTTAAAAACTCACATTAAGCAAACAACTACCAGTATTTTCACAAATTTACAATTTAATTTATTATTCACAACAATTTATTGTAAATATTGACTTGATATTAATAAAATGATTATTCGATTTAAGACTTTTCTTTCATAATGTCTTCGTTGTCACTTTCAGAACTCTAGACCTGATTTTATATAATTGTGACTATAACTGGTATAAGGATGTTGCGACTAACTACGAAACAGAAACATACTACAGCGCCATCTAACGAAGACACACCGAACTACGGAGTAACTCCTGAATGAGAATTGCTAATCCTGTATCGCGATATGAAGAATTCTCTCGCTGAATAGCATATACACATACATACTTCCCATCATCGCGCGGGCCGCCAGGCATGATCACTTCGCCTGGTCATAGGACCCTCCCATTGTGCTGGAGGGAAATGACACCCGTTCCTTCACATAAGGTGAACACCCTATAATAGAGCAGATAGAAGGGTATGGCTGACCTCGTCCCTGCGACAGTCCTGCCCCGGGCGGCGGCGGTGCCAGCAGCGCGCGGGGCTGCCCACGGCGCGCGCGCTGTAGCCGCACGAGCACACGCCGCCGAGGCACAGCGCCGCGCCCGGGGACCGCGCGTCCGGCGCGCCCGCCAAGCCATCGCACTGCACGTCGAACTCGCACGACTCGTTTAACGCTTTCACAGCTGGAATAAAATTCAATAAATTAGTAGTTTCTTACATAGGTTGTTCATACTTTTTTTAAATCAGTATACCGTAGATGACGTGTGGTAACGGATTAAGAATACGAAATGTCGCCACCCCTATTTATACCGTGGGTGTCATAAGAGGCGAATAACGGAGTTAACTACGCAGGACAAAAGCACTGCAAAGAGAAGGCAAACTCTAAACAAATCCTATACCAACCCGTCTGGCCAGCGTGGTATAGTAGGCCAAAACCTCCTTTTTAAGAAGAGGCCTATGTCCAGCATTGGACTATTAAAGGCTGTTGATGATGATGACGATGATACCGTAGATGTATTTCAATGTGAAATGAAATGAATGAAACAGCATAAAAGTCATGACCCTCTAAACATATTAAGTATATAGGTTCACCTTACGAAGTATTGAAATCACAGATAACTACCGTCTATTTAATTGATAACGTTTAAATACTCCGCCCTGCTATTGAAAAATCGATAAAAAATCACTCGACATCAATTTATTCTGAACCGAAAATCGAAAGCTTTCTTATAACCGCATCTAAACACTAGCACTTTAATACCTCGAGATAGAAATCCATCTAAATCTTATAAATACATATTTCTTTACAAAAACGGTTTTATTTAAATTAGACACTCATTTATGGCCATTAACATTACTCAAGTCTATTTTAATTTAAGGTAACATCACCAAGATAACAATCTCATTAACAGACCCTGGCCCTATTTCAGGTGATAATGACATCTAATTAAAGTCGATATGTTGTCGATTGCTACTTAATTCGGGCCTAATTAAAAGGGCTCACGCGGTGCCAAGGGCTTGTAAATTTGCATATTACACAGTGTATATTGAATTAGGCAAGTTGAACTAAATAGCAATAGTTCAATTAACTTTGATTAGAATCAAATCCTCAAAAACAAAAACATCAATCAGGGACAATTTATTTATACGCGTGATTTGCATAACCCGGGTCCGTGTGTGTGACGTATTAAGAATACGAAGTGTCACCACCCCTATTCATTCCGTAAGTATCGTAAGAGCCGACTAAGGGAGCAAACTACGCAGGACAACAGCACTGCAAAGAGGAGGAAAAAATGAAACAAATCCTATACCAACCCGTCTGGCTAGTGTGGTATAGTAGGTCAAAATCTAATGTCTCAGGAGAGGCCTTTGTCCAGCAGTGACCTAGTAAAGGCTGCTGTTCCGTTTTTGTTGTGGGTTTGGACCTAAGGTTTTTTGATTAAAAATAAAAAACTTGAAAGGTTGAAAAATAAGTTATGATGTTTACACTGTTTAAAACAGCCTTTGAGAAACCCTGGGAGGGGGGACATTGGGGCTCTTGTAATCTCACTGATTCGGTAAAAAGTAACGGGAGAATTGTTTAACAGCGGTTTTTTGTGAAAAATGACGATTAGTTAATCAATTAAGTAACATTTCGACGGGCCGGTTGGTCTAGTGGTGGTAGTGACCCTGACTGCTAAGCCGGAGGTCGTTGGTCGTTGGTTGGTTGGACATATATTGTGTGATGAGCACAGTCATTTGTTTTATGTCTGGGTGTAACTAATCTGTATGTATGTGTTTAGAAATATATAAGTATGTTTATCAGCAGTCTGGTTGCCATAGATATATTTATTTAGATTTTTTTATTTAGAATTTAGATTTATATATTTAGATCTAACTACTTTTTGCTCTACAAGAACTACGTTGGGGTATTTTGGATTCGATTTCTAAATTCATCAATCAGTCTGACGAAAGCTTAATCTGTGTAAGTCTGTTGCACTTACATTCAACGCAGGAATTGGTGCCGTTGTGTGCGACCCAGTTGTCTCGGCAGCGGCACGTTCCTCTACACTCCAGCCCTGGTCCAGCGCACTGGAGCTGATCTTCGCATTCCTCACCTAGAGCAGCGTCACGGACACACCTGAAAATTTTATATTCTTTATTTGAAAAAACCCTTTAATTAGGTCTGAATTATCTGTGTGGTGACTAATCCGTGCTATTCAAGAATACAGATTATTTTCACATCCCGTGGGTGTGGGAGGGCCGACTAAGGGAGCAGAGTGCCAGGGAGCTTGCTAGCACCTTTTTAACAAGAAAAGAGAGCAAACGATTACTCACCTTGTGCCGTTATCCCTAGGGCTGAATTGCAACTGACACACACAGTAGCCTCTTACACAGAACGCTTGTCGCTCCATATTCTGATCACCGAGGTAGCAGTTCTGATCTACCAGGCATCGTTCTCCAATCACTGTAAGTAATATAAAGGTTTTTTTTATTTTTTTTTATTTTAAAATGACAACTCCCGCATTAGGCGTATATCCTGTGTCGCGAGGGTCTTTACAAGCATACATGAAACGGATACAAAGAATACCCAGACTCAGAACGACAATTTGTGGATCACACCAAGTGTCGCTCCATGTGGGGATCGGACCCACAACACTCAGCGTAAGCGGCGTGGTGACTGCTTAAACCACTACGCCATCCGTGCAGTCTTATTACGTTTATATTATAAAGGTATTACTTTGGTAGTGGAAATGCCTTACGAAAAAAAGTCGTTGGGAGTGACATAAGACTGCTCCGAAATTCTTTTTTCAACTGATCTATAGTATTTCATATCGTATTAGATATGCATATAAAGTAGTAGTTGACCTCCGCAACTATGTACTTCTGCGTCTTTCAAAAGGAATAAATATTTCCCGCCTTTTTGCAACTTTACTCATCAATACTCGCATGGATGCGAGAAGCCCAAAATCGATGTAAGTGGCGTGCAATGGGAGATGTCAAGCAGTGGACTGCGATAGGCTGATGATGATGATGATGACTAGTATAGCGTTCCACGATATATGGGCTATCCAACACTAAAGATTTTCAATTTGAACCAGTAGTTCCTGAGATTAGCGCGTTTAACCAAAGAAACAAACTATCTCTTCATATATGTATACAATCTACTGAAGGTTGAATTTTCATCCACAGTTATATTTATACATACTAGAGACGCTTTTAAACCCTTACTGACTTCTATTAAAGTAATAAAAAAGAGTTAAATGAAAGCTCCACTTACCAGCGGTTTCGTAACACCTGTCATCTTCGAAATGCGCAGTAGATGCGCAGGCGCATACAGAGTTGGTACATTCGGAGTGGATGCCAGTCGTCGAATGACACTGGATGTGCTGCACGCATTCTTCGCCGATTCGGGCCTCTGGAATACAACATTTTATATTGGTATTTGTGATACTAAGAGTTATACAATGTAACACGACCTGTTCGTATTCGCTGTAATAAATACCGGAATGATTGCAGTTCTTTCAACCCCCTCCCCCCAGACAAAGGGGAAGGGAGGGTTTCTGGGCTCCGTGAAAAGCAACAAAAGAATTGCTTAACATCGGTTTTCTGTGAGGATATCACTCTGCTCGAGCCTACCAATAAGTATCAAAGAAAGGCTCTTCAACGGTTAACTTACTACGTCTGCCACTGTTATTGGTGTCTTACATCTTTTCTGTCGCTAATTTGCAAGAGTCGCGGTGCGGTGCTAGAGTTGGTCTCACTCACTCACATGTTCCGACTGTATGGGTGCTTCTACACGATGTTAGTGGCTTGCGCATGTTGAGGCACTTTCGCAGGTTATTTGCTACCATCGCGAGCCACGCACGCTGGTAGCAAATAACCTGCTAATTTAACTTCATATTTCAATTTTCTTTTAATTTTACTTCATACTTGACCTGAGCACATGCTTAACAGCATTACAGAAAAACGATCACATTCCTAAATAGGTTTTGCTGCGGAAAAGCCAAAACCATTTTGTAATGAAATGAAGGACTACGTGAACAAGGATATGGATAGAAAGAGAGTAAGCAGTGATCTGTCGAGTGATAAAGGAGAACGGAAGAAGAAAACTCATTTCGCCGACCCGTCCGTGTGGTGACGGATTAAGAATACCGAGTGTCACCACCCCTATTCAACCCTTGGGTGTCGTAAGACCCGACTAAGGGAAAAAAACTACGCAGAACACCAGCACTGTAGAGAAAATGAAAACTAGACACAAACCCTGTACCCTGTGTTTAGTAGGCAAAAAGGACTATTAAAGGCTGTTGATGTGATGTGATGAAATATATTTGGGAAAAGGGTAAGTTTTTTTTTAAAAGGTCCACTAGCAACCGAAATTACTAGTATTCCCGTTAACCCCTTCCGCTAAGCTAAATTGCTTGTATTAGGAGTGGGTTCACCTCGGTGGTGTACTGGTCAGGATTCGAACCCACGACCTCTTGATCGCAAGTCCAATGTCTTAACCACTAGGCTGCCGCCGCTTCAAAGATGATGATGATTGTCATGTGACGAAACTGAAGACTTAACATTTTCCTAGTTATTAAAAATTCAGTAAGGTGGCGCCTGGTGGCCTGGCGGGTACATTCATAGAAAAAGGTCATACACTCATAACACGAAGCTTACCGGTGTCATAGATATGATATGGTTAGGTTCCTAATATTGTCACACCTTTGTCAACCTTGTCACACAATTACAGACCATTCAAAATGTATGAAATCGATATGGTTCTGACGCGTCACTATAATATGGACCATTATTTTCAGAGACTTATTCTCTGGTTATTGCTCATGAATTAAACTGTGTGCCATTGTTAGAATATTTAAGAGTATATTATAAAACTTGTATATCTTTTACGAGTGGATTATACGATGTGGGTGACGTTAGTTTATACGAGGGTTTGATAGGAGTCCCGCCCTTTTGTAGGAAGACGACAGGAAGGGTCCAGATATCTTTATTAAAAGTGTTTCAGGATATCTCCTATTTTTTGGTCGATTTAAACACATACTGAAAGCCTCGGCCTGTCGGCTCGAGGGCGGTTCTACATGTAGGAAAATAAGGTTTTGACAGTCTCTAAAGGTTTACCTTTCAAGCAGCCCTTGTGGGTGCTGTTGACCGCTGCATAGACGAAGCCATCTTTACAAACGCAGTAGCTGCTGGAACGGCAGAAGGCGTTGTCCGGACAGTCCATATCAGCGTTGCACACATTGCCCGTCCGACCTGCGCAAATATTATATTGCAGTGATAGATACACATATAGAATACTCTTTATTTAAATAAAAGTTTTACAAAAGTAGTATCATTCATAAAAATGTCAGATATGTAATTATTATCTCTTATTAATCGAACATGATCGAATCAAAGCGCGTACTAATAAGGTTCGAACTAGCTATCAACTATGAATTTCTATAGGTATTTTTATAAGAATCGTGATCCTTTTATAAAAATTAAGTTTGAATCACAACCAATAATCCAAAAGAATCAAGGCAGTGTCAGAAGTTTAAACAGATTATCTAAGCAGCCAAACGTCTGCATTAGATTGTTCCCAGCATCAGTACCCGCCGGTCAGAGAAAGACAGAACACTGCAGTTTTACATTTTTTACAACAACACAATTACAATTTTTGATGATAATTTCTGTTTTTCATGTTGAATACGGGGAAAATTTTGGTTTTTCACGCAATATAATAAATACTAACCTTTAGTTTGAGAGACTTGTTTACTAATCTTTTTTAGCCATAAAATATATAATGCCACAAAAATTGTTGTGTTCTTCTAAGCACAAATGTTATTGAAAATACAAATAACTGAAGTGTTAGTGATTCGATGATAATGACGAAGGTGAAGTGAAGTGAAGGCTTGCGGTGACATTGAATTGTACAAATTGGTGTATTGTTATTGTATAACTCGTTAAGTAAATTGAAGGCAATATTACATTAAATATACACATTTCTGTATAACTTCTAATATTTAAAACGCTTATGGATAAATAGGGAAATCGTGGAAGAGCACGCTTCAGTACAATGGGCGGGCTTGACGGAGTGATACTACAGCCTCACAGAAACCTGTGTTACAATTTTTTGGGTGCATTTCACCGAATAAGTGATTTTACCGAAGCCACAAGCTCAACCACGCTCTTTGTCCATAAGGCGCATCAGTCACTTAACACCGTACGCTCGTTTGACGCCGTAACACAATAATATAAACGAATTTGATTCTCATTAAAAATGAACGCCTTTTACGACTAGAATTTAATTTAAACTTAACAATAACTTAAGAAACCCATTATTACGGGATCGTGATAGTGGTATCCACGGACTACAAATCGCGGCCGTACCATATGGATACTTCCTGAAGCATTTGGTAAGGTCGAAAGACTCACCCGACTTGACTATTAGGCTAATAGTCACCAGATACGTCAGTGGGCATTTCAAAGTCGTATTTTGACTGACATATGACGACCATTGTGACGATGCCAGAACAATTAGTAAACAAGGATAGCAGTGTCGATTAAGGCTTGGTCTCAACTGGACTAGGCTAGGATTAAAGGTATTTACAAAAAAGTAGCTACGTTTATTCTTATTCTAGAACCCATAGTATAAGATGTGTTTAGTTTGGGTCTAGAAGCCGCTAGCAATACTAGAATACTTAAACCATATTACTGTTAAATTCTCAAACTTAATGTTTATATGTTAAGAGTAGATTTTGATAGCGTATAAATATAGATATATAGATGTAAATACATTTAATGATATAAATTGTGTTTACGCATCTCATACATAACACGCATTATATATAATACATGAAGTGATTCAAGTGAGAAGGAAACCATTATCGGATCTCGAGGCATCCGAATAAGTGCGTGCGTGCTCACGGCCGTGTACCATGACCATGAATGAAGAAATGTACTCGATCATAACCGGTTCCATGACTCATCACTGCTATATCTTATATAGGTGGAGTTATTAAAGTTTCATTTGTTATTTAAATAGTATTAGGAACATTATCGTTGAATCTTCATTAATCTTGAGGCGTGTTTGCCTCGTGTTGTGAACATGATTTGTTTTTAAGTACATTACTTATGAAGTTGGTAGTTTAAAGAAAATATTTAAGAAAATAAAAATGTGGGTTTCCACATTACTAGGATTTAGGCAAAATTGTTGTGTCAGGAGTTCATATCTGGTGCACTGGATGAAGTTTGAGTCCGCAACCATTTTATCATATTAAGCTAACGCCACTCCTTAAATAGTTTTCTATTCTGTTTATATGGAATAAGGGGTGAAAGACCTGACGTGTCACCTGATGGTAAGCGACTACCGCCTTCCATGTACACATGCATCACAAGAGATACAAGTGCGTTACCGCCTCTAAAGCTAAGGGGAGAAAAAGGGTTTGAGAATCAGGTAACTGGGTTAAAAGCAACAAAAAATAGTTTAACACCGGTTTTCTGTGAAGCCGCGGTATATTGTGCCGAATCATTGCTCTCCCACGGTTATGGGTAAGATGCGGGATATAGGTTATGAGCCCTACAAACCCAATTTGGCCCTCAGTGAGTTTAAATAAAAGGTGTATTCACATAAAAAGAACGCGGTAACACAAATAGTTGTTTACATTATTACTACTATTGATTGAACTAATACAGGTTAGAAATATGTTTATCATATAAACGTGTCATCACATTAGGTACGTACAGTCAGCGACGGGAAACACTTAACAATTTTTTAATTTCGCCACCACATGTATGATTAGAATGTTTTTCTACAAGACATGTTACATAAGACTGAACGGATGGCGTAGTGGTTTAAGCGGTCACCTCGCCACTTCCTACTGCGTAGAGTGTTGTGGGTTCGATCCCCACATGGGACAACACTTTGTGTGATTCACTAATTGTTGTTCTGAGTCTGAGTCTCTTTTGTTTTCGTTTCATGTATGTTTATAAAGTTCCTCGCGACACAGGGTTTATTCTTAGTGCGGGAGTTGTAAAAAATAAATGTTAAAATAAGGATTGTAATTAAGCAGTTTTTTAAATACATATACCTAAAGTCCGTGTGGTGACGGATAGTTCGTGTGGTGACGGATTAAGAATACAAATTGTCACCACCCCAATTCATCCCGTGGGTGTCGTAAGAGCCGACTAAGGGAGCAAACTAAGCAGGACAACAGCACTGCAAAGAGAAGGTAAACTTGAAACAAACCCTATACAAACCCGTCTGGCCAGCGTGGTATAGTAGGCCAAAACCTCCTTTCTAAGGAGAGGCCTATGTCCAGCAGTGGACTAGTATAGGCTGTTGATGATGATGATGATACCTAAAAGACTGACAGAAAGGGACAGCGTCACTTGAAATGTACTAGCTCCAAGCGGAATGCGTAAAAGCACCGTGTACCATTTTATTCATTAATTAGTAAATTACAACGCCGTATTGTGTTTACAAAAGTCATGTTTCAAAGAGAAGAAAGGTTTCTCATTTGACTGGATTTTCTTTGTGTGCTCGTAACAGGATATCTATGACGTGTTTAAGTGGTTTTAGGTAACCATATACTAGTAATTTGTTTCGTTATTCAAAGTATTTATAAGAAAAATAAGGTATTCTTCTAAAGGTACACAAATGGAAGACTTTAAATGACCAATCCTGTCTTACATCAGTAACACCGGTTCAACTAAGCTAAATTGTTATGATTATGTTTCTATCTTTCCTCTTGCTTTCTTGAAGCTTTCGTGAAAAAAGCGCGTGTGTTGATGGGTGAGATGTCGGATTCTACACACTATTTGCAACTACTGTAAGGGTCGCTCGTTATTGTAGTGAAGCCTGATTAGTACAAAGGTTGTACTAAAAATAATCGATTTTAAGCCCATCTGTTTCCGATAACAAACAAAATGTAATACATGACTTTGTAAGTTGTTAATATGATTAATTACAAATTACGAGGATGTTCTTTGTCCTCATACTACGTAGGGCTTCTTTCTTTGGTCACAAGGTCATAAGTAACTTAGTATCTACGAGGAGCATCGCAGGGGCTTCAAGGACACGTCAGTCAAGTCGGTCAAACTATTTCTTAATTTACAGACTCGAATAATAATATAACAGGAGAAAGTGTGTACATTATACATGCTTATATTGGTAGCAGATAGAATTTATGTGCTATAGAAGATTAGAAGAATTGTTTAAACCTTTAACACCTGCTATAATGGGTCAGCTGAGCTAATGAAGAAACTCTTTTTAACTTATCTAGCATGTATTCAATGACACTTGATTTCATCCATATCACGATGTTTTGTTTGCACAGTAAGAAAATAAAATATTTTAGGATAACGTGTCTAATACATAGTTTCTACAGTTTTAAGCTATGGTTTGATTGCAAATTTTATGGTAAAAAAAACACAAATATAGCTTTAAATTAAATCTGATTTTTATCTATCGACTCGGTTATATAATATATAATATCCTAATATTCGCAACAATAAGAATTATTATAAACGAAACTCTAAGGGAGGATTGGGCGCTATCCCATGAAATCACGGGTCAAGCACATTTCAATCTTTTTTTTTGCACTTAAAATCTTCATTGTGAAATCATATCGCTTCGATTGTTCAAACCATCTTGTGTGAAAAATGGTACACGCATTACTAAACGTTTATCTCTCAGACAGTCTGAACCTCTTCCACTTATAGATTTCCGATTGCGTGATGCAGATTTGGTAATAAGTAGTAATTTTAGCTAAAGGAGAAACAAAATTAATAGTCTTTATTTTCATCTGACGCCGTATACAGATGAACAATAAGTTGAAAGCAAATACTAACTGGTTCTCCAGTGTGATATGGACATATAAACGCACAGGAAGAAGAACACAACAGATAAAGATTGATAATTCACATAAACATAATTTATATCTTGAATGTAAATTTATTAAAGAACTTTGTAACTTTAAATTACCTTGTCTTTATGCTCGCGAATGTACCAAAACCGGTAACTCATATTAATTAAATTTATTTTTTTGCGTATTTTATAGACGACAGTTTATTGTTTCTTAAACAAAGGTTTGTATAAACTTCAAGGCTGAGCTAAATTAATCTATTCCGAGATAAATTAGACTGTCCGAAGGGATTTTTTTATTACTGATAAAGTTCCTATGACAAGTTAGATTAGGAAAAATAAAGGCTTCCGTGTAATAAATCTCTACGAAGTTTATTGTTGGCAGATAAAAGGAAGATTTGAATTTATC